CTGGCAGTATGCTCTCCGCCTGATAACTTTTTTTTTATTTTTTTTTTTTTTTTTTTTTCTTGCATGATAGAAGCGAACTTCTTTATAAGGCATTCACAATGCAGCCTGTATCTAATATCGGTGTAGGATAAGTTTATTCTCTGCCTTCATGTTGTGAAGATGTTGAATACTGATATCAGGAACAGCGAACACCTGTGTCTTTTATAATAGTTAATTGCCAATCACAAAAATCTTGTCATGTTTCCCAATTGCCTGATTCCGAAGCGGTAGTTCTAACTTCTGATCAGAACCTATATCGAACCACAAGTGCATTGTCATAGCAGTACCAGTAATTATTCTGGGTGCTATACTTTCGAGACATGTCAGTAACCAAATGAGCAAAGGAAGGAGCCTCGTTGCCTGCGTTCTGCATTTTGGGGAGTGGAGGGAGAGGGGACAATTTAATGTTTTCGTGAACTGTGCCCGGCCAGCTTAGTCATGCCACTCAAATCATCTATTTCCAACCCCTCCACCGCAGATCACAATGCAATACCGACATCGCAACCAGGATTAATTCCTCCACATGCAACGGGGGAAAACCAATCATCATAGTACAGGGAAATTTCGAATTTGTTGGCAAGGCAGATCGACAGGGTTCACGAAACAAGGCCCGCATCGTCTCACTCTTGGGGCTTGCTCGAAGCAAGAAACTCTGAATAAGGGTAGAGATCGGCATCACAACCGTTAACCGCTGCTTCTTCTCTGACCTAACGGGTCACATTGAGATATGCCGCACTTCTTTAATACCAGCCTGGACTCGACCCCCATGTGTTAGCACTGCCAAATGCAAAGAGCACCTGATAAATCTGCAATACATATCACTGACTCTCGGTTGGTTCCCAGACGGTTCGTTAGGATCTAGAAGATAAGGAAAAGTCTAATATACCTTAGTGTAATATTCTTGAGCTTGATTTGATAGCTTGTTTACACCCTATTCGCTATATTATGATTCTATCTTTTGTGCTTGAGAATCCTTATCCTGCCAGAGGGCCTATCATCCTTGAACCACCATTGGCTCGGCGCCGTATTGTATATCCAGTACAATTTGAAATCTGTATCTAATAAAGAAATAGTGTGCATTTATGGCTTCTATCGTCAGCTAGTCTTTCTGCTTTTAAGGCCTCTCAATTCTAGGTAGAGGTGTTAAGAGACATCTTTGGAACTATATATGTTTGGTACGGGTGGTTCGACAAACTTATCAACCTAAACTTATTCAGTTCAATTCCTCACTCAAAACTTCTGACGATTTGCGACAAAAGTACTATAGTATGACAGGTAGCATACTCCAACGGCTTCGTCTATGTGTGTTAGTACACACTATATTGTGTGCGGCCGAAGTAGTATACTATAAACAAGCATGGTAACGAAGATCTGACGAACTAGGAAAACAGAGAACCTACAGAAGCATAGTATTAGTGTGCATATTTAGATTGGCCAGTGGTATTTTTACTACAGGTCACTAAGTGATTCTGTTATGACTTACCAGGTGCTAGTCAAGGATCCATAATATACTGCAAAACAGAACGAATAACAGCATCTACAGATTGAGTACTAGTACTGTTATACTTGACCTAACTTTCCCTCCCCCGCCCGACAATACCAATGAGATACGTAATAAAGATGAAGATACCCTGAATTTAATCCAGTGACTTCATCAGTTTAACAATGCCGAATCCTGAATGTCTCTTGTATCTTTTCATGACTGATTGGACACATCCCGATGTTTATCACGTGATAACACCGACGAATCCGCAAATTCCCTATTAACTCATGGTCTCGAATATAAGTAACTATATATGACGAATCTACTTCCTTACGAACAGCAACTATCTTTCACGTTCGCTATAGTAAGGAAAATAATGTATACTTCGGGGTTGTTCTAAAGCCATCGCCCAGTCTACACGATCATGTGACCCTGACCTCCGGCTTGGCATCAAATTCATCCCGCAGTTTTCTTGTAGCTTGCTTCGTGCCAGGCAGTTCCCTTTTATTATCATCAAAGGACTGCTTCAGCGGGTTTCTGGACACAACAAGGCGTTGGAAAGACCAATTAATTTTATACTGTCATTTTTACATTTGAATACCTTCCCGGAACACCGTTATAATGATCTGCCAGCGCTGTCGAACCAGCCTCTTTGCCCGGTTGCAACCGCAACACGCGGTTACTTTCTCTGCTTCGTCATGCGCACGCCAGCTTCCAATTCACCGAAGCCAATTCCGGAGCTACAGTGATGGCAAGCCTACAGTATCAGCTACGCCGCCTCCTCCTACTCCCCGCCAGCCTGTCGCAGCGGACATCACGATCCCGTCGGCAGTTTCATCAGCGACTCCCGGCGTGTCCCAACCATTCAGCACACCGGAAGAAGTAAATGTCGATGTGTCTTCTAAGAAGCCCACAAAACCTGCCGTGGAACGTCCACCAAGCTCCTGCCCCGCTGGAACGAAGCTGAACGGCCTCAACTACTTCAAGAATAAGCCCGATGTCCTCGCCCTGGAAGACTCTGAATACCCGGAGTGGCTGTGGTCGTTGTTAGATGATGCTAAGAAGCAATCGAAATCCGAGGGCGGAGTGGATCCGAGCAGTATGTTTATCTTGCTTTATCAATAGGTCTTGGATCATACTAACTGTGCCATCTCCAGCCTTGAACAAGAAGCAACGCAAGCGCTATGAGAAGAAGATGGCTGCTCGCGCCGCAACCCTCCCTCCTAAGATCCCTGTTCATCATCATGCTACTGATATTACTCCTGCATCGTACAACCGCGGCGGTCAAGCAACGGATGATCTTCTGGCCGAGGCCGCTGAGAGTCTTGACAAGCGCTCCGAGATCACGAAGAGCGCGAGAGAGGCCCGGAGGAAGGCCATTAGAGAGGCTAACTTCCTCCGCGGTCTGTAATTTTAGAGAGGCTTGGCTTGGTGCCGGTTTGTCCCATTCTATGGTGTTTTTAACAGGCTTATCCATGTACAATTGTGTTGACTGATTTTGATGTAGAAAGGCCCGCTCGGGATATTTCAGATGTATTTTATGGAACTTTGTACTCATCTTTCTTATAATTCCCAGGCAAGGCGCTGAATGAAGTTTACTGTTTTATCTGTGGGGTTGCTCTATTGCTGTATACTAAACACTGCGAATAACCAACTCGCGCGTGCTTGAAGTCGGGAAACGGGGATTCCCATCCAATTACTGATGAACTCTAGCCAACTCATTTAGGGATATCCCACTCCTTGGTTTCGCCTTGACCTTCCACCCATGGCAAACAAGCATCAAAGAGTGCCTTCACCTCGCCCTCTCCAATGCTCACCAGTCCTTGGAAAAGCGTATTATGGCTCTTCTCAACCCAAGCCAAGAAAGAGACGATCAGAATATCCGCGTATCCTGGAGTCTCACCCTCAAGGAAGGGCCCCTTCTTCCCTGGCCGGCCTCTTAGCATTCGCGCCACAGGTTCCATCTCTTCCTTCGCTGCTTTGATTATCTCCTGCACCTCGCTCTCTTCCTTGGGATATACCTCCGGCAGATGCTTTCCGAACTTAGCAGACCGAGTCCTGATAAAGTATTCCTGACCCCGGGGGTCAAGCAGATCAGCGACCCTCGGAATCAAAAGGGTTACACCTTTTTCGGTGACGTTACCGAGGAGCTTGATCATCGCGAGCGCGAGCGCATAACTGGCATCGCCGGAGGGGAATAGGGGTGGTGAGGGAAAGGTCTGGTCCAGATGCGTGGCGATAGCAAGGGAGTCCTGCATCGCACCGTAGGCGTTCGCATTGATGGAGGGCTTGTGCAGAATGGCGGGGAGGGTATACTGAGCTCCTGCGGCGTGAGGGGTAACGCCATAATGGGAAAGCAAAGGAGCAATGTCCGGATAGGAAATGTACGATTGTGTGTAGGGAATGCCCTTGAAGTTCAAGACCATGCGGGTCTTGAATGTATTAACGGACCATGCCTTTGCCGGCCCTGGGGACAGCGCGTTAGTCAGTAGTCAGCCTTTATGGAAGGTCACCATAGCTCCTTGTAGTCGGAAGTACGGTACAGAACGACAGACATACCGGGAATGGTTGAAGTAATGTCAAAAAAGTGAACGGGAGTGTCGGTGGCCATGATGGTTTTGGTCAAGATGTAGCGCAGGTAGAGTTGCTGTCAAGATGGGGTGGGAATATTCTCTATTCAGGTGGAGGGAGGGGCTATCTCGCATTATGCTTATATAACTTTGATTTTCCCGAGCCGACCTTGTTGGGAGCTTTACTAGTTACTAGTATTGTCTCTCATCTTGGGATATTTTGGGCTCGCTGTATACAACCCCAGCCTCCTATTGGTGCATCCGGCAAAAGCTGGCGAATAAGCTGATTGTAGTGGAGTAGTATGAAGCGTTCAGTGGCCGTCGTCGTATCTCTCTATTCAACTAGTAGGTATGGTTGGTAAAGTTTAGTATATTATCCGTGTATCTCTTGCACTAGTTAATTCTATCAATTCCATGACACCTTAGGCTGCCATGCAGGCTGCTGATCTGGAGGGGGGAAACAAAGGGAATCATCTGACTTCCCCGAAAGAGGATGGTGATTTAGAGTTCCACAACCACGAGGACTTCAATCTAAATTCTAAACCCATGTAACTAAACGAACAATTGTCTTCCTTCCCTTGCCCCTTCCATACGATAATATGATACGTCATGTTCGCCAGCATCCTGACGTGAGTTGTTGTCGTGGCTGTCCTGCACCATAAGAAATGGCGGTCTCTAGGCAACAGCTCGCCTTACTATGTGCTCCAGAAGGCTGAAGGAAGGAAACATAAGATTGGATATCAGATCAGATCGTCATGGGGGATTGCGTATCGGCTGATCAGCGAACAAAACCCAAAACAGCCCAAGTGGAGTGGACCAGAAAAGCAATGGCCAGAACTCCGCCAACACAACACTTGTTCTTTCCGTCTTTGTCTCTTTTCTATCCATCCCGTTTGATATATAAATGTTTCGCCCTTCTCCTTCTCCTTCATCCATACCCCTTTTCTCTTTGTTCTAACCTCCAGTCCCTTGGCTTTGTCTACTCCAGGGGTACACCGCATAGCATTCTATCTTTCCATCGTTCTCCCGACTTGGCGGTAACACGGCGTGACGATCGGCAAGGGAACAAAAGAAAAAAAGGGGAAGAAGACATCTACGTCACTTGTACTTCATCATCAGCAATTGCGTTGCATCTAAGGCTCGTGTCTAAGGTCTTGCCTAACCAATCGACTCAATTGAGGGAAAATGAACGACCTCACTGATCGTACTGATCAAATCACGCTCAATGACTCGTCAAAGTGCCTAGAGTCAAAAAGCTCAGTGGACTTTGCACCTTTTGTTGCGTCTCACCTGGAGGTGATTTACAGCTCGCTCAAATCCTTGCCCGGGGTCGATTTCCTCCGGGACATCCAACATGAGACTCCTAAGGACGACAGTAACAATGGGGCTGTAGACCCCCTCGCTTCCTTAGCGGCGCTTCGGGAGTATATGGCCAGTTCTGCCTCTTCGGCATCGGGACCTGTCAAGCAGCAGAACTATTCAGCACCCATTAGTGACTATTTCATCTCTTCGAGTCATAACACTTACTTGACTGGGAACCAATTGTACAGCGATTCAGACGCGAGTGCTTATACAAACGTACGCAACTCCCCTGGTATTCCATAGTGAATGTACCTACAAATCCCCTACCATGGAAGCGCATTCTGGCCTATGGAGTACCAACTGTTGGGCTCTTGTGAGGATGGTTCCCTTAATAGGGTGTAACCATGCAACTTCCGTGCCCTGTGCATCAGACACTAGCATCAACCCTAATGCAGAACTTGCTGTCTAGGTGGCAATAACTAATGACATTCTAGGTCCTTCTGAATGGATGTAGATGTGTCGAGATCGACGTATGGGATGGCGAGCGAAGCTCCGAATGCCCATCTGCTGATGACACAAGCAGTAGTAGTAGCGATTCAAGCTCCGAGAGAAAGATAAAGGACGGGTCAAAAAGGGAAAGGCTTAAGAGTATGGCTAAACGACACGCCCGTTTGGGATCCATATCAACCAAAGTTGGGGGTCTCCTAGGCCGCAAGTCGTCTCCTGAGGACGTGCCTCTCGACAACAGTGACCCAGTGGATCCTGCGACTGAGGTCCCGCAACTCCCAGAGCCCAAGGTGCTTCATGGCCACACGCTTACCAAAGAGACTACGTTTCGAGATGTGTGTTATGCCATCCGGGATAGTGCTTTTGTTACAAGTGATCTACCGGTGATTGTTAGTCTGGAAGTGCATGCATCTCTGGAACAACAACAGGCGATGGTGGAGATCATGGAAGAGGCTTGGAAAGGGATGCTGGTGGAAGTCACGCCCGAAAAGGAGGCGACTGATCCTCTGCCCGCACCGGAAGATCTAAAACGAAAGATCCTGATTAAAGTGAAATACGTGGCACCGACGGGTCAAGACAAAAAGGAGGAAACGCCAGAAGGTAATGGCGACGAGCTTGAGGCACTCAAGCAACACGCCAATAAAGGTGACTCCAGTAGCACTGCCGACAAGCCAGCTGATGTACCCCCAAAGAAGCCATCAAAGATCTTGGAAGCTCTCAGCAGACTGGCTATATTCACCAAAGGATTCCACTTCAGTCACTTTGAACAACCAGGTAACTACTCTGATTGAGTCTACGCAAACCTAGGAAAGAATGTTCATTAACTATATGTGTAACAGAGGCCAAAGTACCCGGACACGTGTTTTCGCTATCAGAAAATGCGGCTAGAGCAGCGCATGCGAAAGATCCCGAAGCCCTGTTTGAACACAACCGCAAACATTTCATGCGGATTTACCCATACGGCCTACGAGTAAATTCTTCGAATCTCGACCCCAGCTTCTTTTGGCGCCGGGGCGCGCAGGTGGTGGCGTTGAACTGGCAGAACCTCGACAAAGGAATGATGCTTAATAACGCTATGTTTGCCGATGAGCAAGGTTGGGTACTCAAACCGCAAGGATATCTAAGTTCCGATGCACCCTTGACCATTGTGCGTCGCCAGCTAGACCTTTCGATAGAGTTTCTCGCCGGCCAGAACATCCCCTTGCCTTCAGGAAACACCAACGAGAAGGGTTTTCACCCCTACGTGGTCTGCGACTTGCATGTTGAGACGCCCGAGGACACCACTTCACCTCAAGTGGAAGACGAGGGCGAGTCAGAGACCGAAAACTACAAGCAAACGATCAAAAGTGCCTCGGGAGCCAGTCCAAACTTTGAAGGCCAAATGGTTCAGTTTCCGACTCTATCTGGGCTAGTTGAAGAGCTATCTTTTGTCCGGTATGTATTTCTTCTCGGCGGCAGTTGCCTTCCGATCCCTCAAGCGGTGATCCCAAGCCTGCAACCAAGGTACGGATGAAGCTAATGACCCCACAGATTCAAAATTAAAGACGATGAATTCGGACGAGACTCGACGGCTGCCTGGGCTTGTATTAAATTAGACCGCCTCCAAGAAGGCTACCGGCTAATCCACCTGTACGACTGTTCAGGAGCAAAAACCGACGGCGTCCTGCTAGTTCGTATTATCAAACGGGTCACCTAGTTTGTTTGTGTTGGACGTTCTAAAGTCACCTGGGTGGTGAAAAATAGAATAAATTTGAAAGGAGACACTGAAGAAGCAAAAAAAGAAAATTAAATAAATAAATAAATAAAACAAAAAACAAACAGGGATAAACCGGACGAAAGAAGAAAAGATGATTGAAAGTCGACATTGCAGATGAGCCGGACAGAATAGAATGCCAACGCATATGCAGTTGATCTCTTAACTCTTTGATTCGTACGTCTGTGCGTGTTTTTGTCGGTTGATCATGGATCTCACTTTCAATTCCAGCTGGTCGGCATCGAAATAATACACATGTCCCCCAAGAAGATCAAGCGCCTCCCATGGGTAGCCAGCCAGCCACCAAACCGGTTATAATGATACCAACCTCGCACACACTACACTTCATAGACTCATCGAAATCCTAGATTTTAGCGCGAAAATGACTCGGTTATTCAATTTAGTATATGACTACAAATTTAGATAACACTGGTATGTCGAACAGGGGGGTAGTCTCGGTTGGAAAGTAAGGCCATGCCCACTTCCAAGGTTTCCAACGTAAACCACAGTACTGGAGACAGGGTAGATTCCAAATCACGATGGACAGGTGCCAAATTAGATTTAGGTTATGTATCTACGGATAGGTCATGCGTGATGGATCTCCATACGCTTTGAATGTGGTATTGGAATGGGGATGGAGGGGGTATCCCCACTCGTGGGCCGAAACCTGGGTCTTTGAAGTTTGGACATGTACAGAGTATGGAGGAAGACAGGATACCTTTTCCACCGCCGAAAACAATCCACATGACGTAATGATAATTATGCTGTGCTCTCAGATTTAGCCGTTCTCGTGTTACGAACGGAGATAAGGAAGGGGATTGAAGGCAAGCAGGAAGAAAATGAAGAAAATCAACCAAAAAAAAAAAAAGAAAGAAAGAAAGAAAGACGCACAAGAAAAAGAAAGGAGGGGTAACAAGACAGGGAAAGAGGAGCCGGAACCGTTCTGATTTGATAGACGATCACCCGAAATTACTCGGACTCGACCTGTCAATTTGGATCAATATCGATAGGAAGAAGCTATCTCTGAGGCGGGTTCCTTGGCACTGGGGACCACACGAATTTGACGCAAGCCAGCTAGTTCGAGAATTGCTTTTCAGGCATGGCAATTGCCAGTCGTGGCTCTCGTCATCGCCAACCGTTAAACAAACGTTGAGGGATCTCGAAAGTGACAGAAGCCAAGAGTAGTACCAACTGGCGACGCGTTGTGGAATCCAGCAGCCACCTGCAATATGTCGGAGAATAAGTGCTGGCAAGACCAGGACAGCTCGCAGATTATGACCAAAAAACTACAGGGGAAACCCCTGAGGAGGGTCCATTTTCTATGTATCCAATTCCGGGTTAATCATTAACCAATATGTGAGAAATACACCAAGCAACCTGAGAGGTGGGGCCGAGATACTGATAGAGTTCAGTTTCGCAACCCAGCTCAACCCAGACAGACGGCAGTCTGCAGGTGGCTGAGGTGACTGAGCCTAAGAAGGGAAAAGGGAAAGGGGGTTCTGATGGTGTATTCCATTGTTGAAGCAACGCGTACCCGAAGCGCCGGCACTGATCTGCGCAGAAACTTATCAAGGGTGCCACTGGCCGCGATCCTGCTATTGGCTCATTTTGATTGGGACTGCATATCCTGTGAAGCACCATGTTAAAAATAGGGAAGAGGAAAGGACAGAGATCATACACATACGTCTCTATAGTGCCGCAAAAGACTGTGACAATAAAGAGAAAGAGAGAGAGGGGAATGGGGAGCCCAATAATAATAATGATAGTAATAATAATATTAATAAAGGCGAACCAAGAAAAAGAGAGACAAAGACTCCTGTTCCCGAATGTCATGACTGTCCCACGGGGTCAGCGTGCTAGCAAACAGAGTCCAGACATTGGAGCAGTGGGGCTTGACGCTAGCCGCTACAATGTGATGGGGAAGCTTTAGTACAATGAAAGAGACCACAAGCCAGGGCTGAAGGGGCCTGGGTGCACATTCTTCTCTCTGCAAGCAATGCTCACCTCGGCCCAAACAGAGGACAGGGATGCATGTATGGGGCAAACCAATAAGCGATTTTCTAGCGTAGACTGGGTTCAAACAGGAGAGAAATAAGATATGTGATGTATGTGGTGCACCTAACTGCAAGCTGACCAAGCCCCTCATTCCAACATCACGGCGAGAGACTAATGTCGACCGAGTAGGGCCTATGTGAGGTAGACTGCGCGCTGGCTTTCTAAAGTTGATGAGTGGCATGTACCTGTTGGTAACACAAGTGCTTGGTCCATTGTGCGTGATGGCGGTGGGATAGATCGCGTGCCATTCCAACATGACTCGCAACCAGTCACATTTCAGGGTTCAAGAGGGACCCAGATGGCCCAGTTGGGCGGTTTTACCGAATACTGAGTATCCATGGCTAGCTGCATAAACGGTTTCCAAAATATACGCCGAAGACGTTCCTCTTTTCCGCACAGGGATATTCCTTTGCGTTTTCCTTTGCGGCCCCCCCCTCCTCTCATCATCCGGACCCGCTTTTGAGCTTGGACACGTATTTTCCATGTAGAGAGCAGATCACACTGCGTGATAACCCCAGTCACTGAAATGCAATGCTTGTCATGAACGGGAACATCCGAATAGTTCGGGTCTGACATGACATGTTGGGTTTGCAGGGATTCCTATATGCAAGTTGCCTTGATGCATTGAGTGTAACTGATGTCGTCAATCAATCGATCGATCGACCCTAATATGGAGATCTCCCGATGGCTTTTTTGAATTGTCGGATCTCAGTGAGGGTCTCTGATCCATCAAGTGCCGCCGAACTATATAAGGGCGGGAGGCTGGCGTCCCAGAAAACAGATTAAGCTCTCAGCATCCAACAAGCCGTGGACCAGAACTTGAACTTTGTTGGTTTTTCTTCTTTAAACTTTGACCGTGTCCAATCTTCGGGAACTTGAGAGGCCTTTCACATCTCGGTTCGATCCAACCGAGCATCTCCCTTCCTTTGAACTTAACCAGAGTACTGGGTAGTAACATATTCAACATGCCGGTGAGTGCACACAACAAAAGTTATTCTTCTTTTCTCTGTCCAAGCACACTTTCTGATGTATGAACCAGATGCCAGGAAGACGCTGCCCGGAGTGTGAGAAATGTGGAACGGAGACCTGGGTTATCCCTGGAAAGAACTGCCATGTCTGCGGCACTCCTGTTGGCTGACGATGTCCGGTAAGCTTTAACAACCAGCCATATAGACAGTACCTTGACCTGAACACATAAACTGATACTGTCCTGGCAGACCACTCGAAGACATCAATCAATCTTGGGGGACCTAGGCACCTCTTTCTCCAGGGGAAAAAAGGAGGACAAAAACGCCGTCCACTTCAAAATGACCCTTGAAAACCCTCAAATCGTCCTTTCTTTTCGTTGTTCCTTGGAGGGGCGGAACAAATCGTGGGATGATCAGGGACGACAGCGGCGACAAGCACCAAGTACTCCTCAGACAGGAGCCCTTAATCTGGGATCGGCCACAAAGCTGGGGAAGATTTGGAGACAGGAATTGTACGATAGTATGGGATATCCGCATAAACGTAATGCAATTATAGAAGAGCGCTTTTTTTTTTGGCTCAATTGATGAATTATCCAGCTGAGGATAGCGATCAAAGAGTGAGGAGGGCGTACAACTTAGAAGGCTTGATCTACCTCCCAAGTCACGCGTGGCTCCTTCCTGACCTGGCAGTGTTCATTGCCCGGCTTTGCAGGCAATACTCCTACAACTTGTATTCGCATAAATCAATGTTTTACGGATTCGTAGTCTACCAACCCATGTAACCTTGTCACTGTATGTACAGCCCTTCTATACAACCGAAGACATCAACCAGATGATCCAACCTTCCAAGTTGCTAAGGACTCCCTACTAACTTCAAGTTCGAAGCCCTCCCCTCCAAATGAGTGAAAGCAATCTCCATCCAATAAAAACAAATCCAAGGGTATCCCCACGTGATAGCTCCCCAATCAAGCAATCTTCTGGAATGCGGGACGCCCGTCCAACGACGTCATCGCCTTCTTCCCCGCCAATTCCAGAGACACAACGCACCATAGCCAAAAACATCTTCTACTAGCGCTCATTTTACTCAAGTAACACTCTTTATACTTCTTGTCAGAAGGCCATAGCAATAATCATGACAGAGACACAAACTTACCCCATCGGAACCCGCAGCGAGTGCGAACGTCTCGTCCGAGACTGGGGTTTCCGACATATCTTTACCTGGTCTGATGGCAGGTGGGTCGATTACTGGTTGAAGGTCTCGTATCGGTATACGTAGGCTCAGGCTTACTTTGGTGTGCTTTACAGCAATGCATATTACTCGCCTCATAGACATGCGGGCTTGACGACGCATCTTATTCGACAAGGGTCCCTTACTATTACGTATCCAGAAGACAATGCTCGATTTAATAATGGGGAGGTGAAGAAGGAGACGTTTGGGGCTGGGGCTCGGGTCGATGTACCGGCTGGGAAGTTGCATGAGGTGTGGATTGGGCAAGATGGGTGTGAGTATGTGATTGGGGAGTAGAAGACTTCGGATATGATATGATGCACACATTGACAAGACTAGCGGGTTTCTAATGTGAGCGGTATATGTTTTGGACTCATCTATTCGAATCTATTAACCATTGACCTTATTCTATAATTCTAAATGAAGTGGTATCACAAGACTTTTAAATCATAACAAGCACCCTTGATCCATGTCCAGCTGGATCTAGCTCGCTTCGCTCGTAAATTAATGGATGAACTTAAAATCGAGTCTAGGAAGAGTTAGCAAAGGCACCGCCAAAGAGGCCAGAGAGTCGCATACCTTTTATTGCCCAAGTGCCCGCTAGCAGCCAGATATTCCTCCCTCTCGGCGCTAGACATGACATCCCATTTTTCGGCATTCTTCCTGTGTAGGTCAGACATGTTAGTATCCGTATCTGATTGATCCAGATGGATTCAGTAGATCACTTACTTGTTGCGCCACACGTAGTAGTACTTGGCTCCAATGAACACGAAAATGCTCCAAACTGTCAGCCCAATGAGAACCTTGTTTCCAGTGCGATAGTACGGTTTGTCATTTTCACGATAGATCTAAAAGAACAAAGATTAACAAATATTCACTTCTGCGAGTGGCTGGAGTTGGGAGAGTTCACGTACATTGTTGGAGATAATGCTTGATGTTTGGACCATCATATTGTAAACTGCACTGGCAACTGTCCTCGTACGAACTGTGCCTGCGTTCCGAGAGGTCATGGCAACAACAATAGCATGCACATACGGTGCACCGATCAGTAGTACGTTAATGATCCACCGAGCCCAATGGCTGGCATTATCTGGCAGGGTCTCGAGAGCGATCAAAAGAACCAAACACCAAATCATAGATCCGACTCCTAGAATCAATCGTTGGTGAAATCGCTCTGAGAGCCAGGTCCAAACAAGTAGGTTGATAATGAAGACCACATAAGCTGGAATTGTCAAAAGGTTCGTCTCAAATGTTCCGAATCCCAGCGACTTAAGCTGTAGGGTGATGTAGCTTGTTGCTGGCGAATTGGGGATCATCCATGTTAATCCTAGAAGGTAGATGGGCCACATATCATAGTCGCAAAGGGCCTCCCAAAGCATCTTTAGCGTTATAGCCTGTCGGTTGTGCATGCCTCCCTTGCTTGGATCATCACGGAGCACTCGGTTGACCATGATTTTCTCTTCACGCTCATTGAACCAGCCATCTTTGCCGCGAAACCCGCCTTTGGTCTGAGTAGGTGACGCCGGCATCCAGAATGCTGCAATGATTGCAATGATTCCTGTTATTAAACCTTCAAAGGCAAACAAATACCGCCAGCCCCCGGTACCATCAGGCCTCCGCACATGTAAGAAGCCGTATGCTAGGAAAGCGCTGATAATCGATGTTCCCTCGTAGGAAACCCAGAAATAACTTAATCGGATAGGTAGCTCCTTAGACTTGTACCAGAAGGATAGAAAGAGAATAGTGTCCGGGATGCTGCTATGTGTCAATGGGATATTAAATGAGACCTCAGATGCACATTTAAACTCACAATCCACCCTCGAACAGAGCCAACAACGCCCTGCAGACATAGTATGACTTTTTTCCCGAGAGGAAAGCCTGAAAGGCGGCGATTAGGCTCCAACAGAACATCTGGATCGGAATCCACCGATCTGGTCCGATTTTTTTTGAGATCAGTTGGGAGGGAAGTTCCGCGAATAGGAAAACGAGGTAGAAGATTGTTTGGCCGGTGTTGTAGTCATTTGTATTCATCCCCAGATCTCCCAACATGTTATCGGACATCGCCTGAACGATATTGCCTCGGTCGAGTTGTAGTGCAAAAAAGGTAATACATGCGAATGTACAGACCCGTAGATCGATCTGTCACTGTTATCAGTCGAAGCCAATCTGATTGAGAGCCCGACCCAGGAATACCTTTCTTATGAGCTTCTTCTCCTCCTGCTCTCCCCATTCAAAATCCGGATCCCAACGATGTATACCTTCATAGTCGTCGATCGGCTTGTAATATCTTGGGTCTTCGGAGGTATCAAAAGCGCCCTCGCTTATATCCTTGACCCGTTTGGGCGCAGCGACAGGTAGTGTCTCAGAGGATGATCCTGCTGAGACTTGTTTCGAATCGTCTTTTACAGGTTTAACATTGGCAGTCGCTTCTTTGTGGTCGCCGGAAGCCATTTTGCCAGTATGGTTGAATGCGGCGATTATTCGACGGTCTCAAGAATGGGAATGAATGAGATGTTAAAGGTACAAGGGCATCGCATGTCATTAATAAATATTGCTTTGTGGTTATTGCTAGTCGGAGTAGTGGTGCTTCTATCACGCCATCGCAGTTTTGTACTTAAGGCTGAAGCTAGTCGAGACTACGCGATGAGCATGCAATGTAGATAGTTATCCAGAGCCAATTAGGAAACTTAAGCGTGGAGTTGAAGAACCTCTCGTACAGCTTGATGTCGCTTGCTGATGGAGACGCGATAAGATGCTGCGGATCGCGGCGAACCTCCGCATGGTTGAGAAGCAGCTAACAACACCATTGTCTAGTAAAGCTTTGACAAGTTAAGCAAGCCGAAGCAATTCTTGGTCGTCTTGGACCAATCATCCAGGACCCATTAGGGAGTACGTCGGGTAGTGGACACCATCACGCAAATGGAGCAAAGTTGACGTTATGAAGGACGAGTCATGGCAACGAAAAGAAGCAGGGATCTCATTTAGCATTTGATCTGGACTGGTTAACTAGCAGCAATTGCCGACTGTCGTCTGTTTCACCGCAGAGCCCATGATAGTTTCAAAGGGTAGCCGATCTCATCATCAGCTTGGCGTATGGTGGCATATTTCGCCATCAATATCGCAACGTTAGGGCGAGACTTGATTGGCGGCTCGTGCACTATGCTAGGATAAGCTGCATGATATGTTCAACCTAAAGGATTGGCGTCTATTATTCTTATTCGCATTCATTTGCATCTTGAGTGTGAAATGTAATGGTCGATTTTCCTTTCCCGAGGCTTATACACATGCAACTAGCAAACGGTTGCGGGAGGCAATCATCGTAATTGCAATAGATTCCCGGGTGGGTGGCTCCTTGGATGACCCTCTACCTAGGTAAATGGCGAAGGCCCACTTTAGTGTGTTTTGTATGTGTACGTAGTAGTATATTAAATTCACCAGCGGAGGGAGATGATTAGTAGCAGCTTAGGGTTGCGCGAATGGGTCGTGCTAGCACGTCATGCTTGGCCCGCAACAGCAACAACAACAATGGCCCCGTATCACTTTAGATAGTGAAAGAGTCGACCACGTTCTACTTGTCGTCAGCCCGAGTATTTCAGTTTTCTATCGACCCAACGAAAATGAGACCAAAGTTTGTCTTCTTGATCGGTACGAATCCAGAACTTATCACGGGACAAACAGCCGACAGAGCTCTGTGACGCCGAGTCAGCGTACGATGGATAGGCTTTCGCGTCGCAAATCCTCCCTCATCACGCAATCATATCGCTTTATGATACACCAGTCGACCACTCAGCATTGTGTGTACTTGGCTCGTTGTGGCAGTCCTCCCCAGTGACCCCGCGCGCCGAGCGAAACTCCTTGCAAGATGTATTCTTGAACAGGGCGTGATATTGAACATACCCCGCAAATATTGCACAATCATCAGATATCAGTCGGATAATCGGATCTTACATAGGCGGCTATATGTAAGGCAATAGATATATCTAGGGGATAGCCCCTAGCGTTAGATCAGTGCTTGTTAGAACAGAAGACAAATCGAAAGAGCATCAACTTTCACGCAAATCTACAAAGATGGCTCCATCTATAACCGAAACCGTCTCACTTCACTCGGCACCAAAGACCTCTCTTAGGACTGATGCTGGTCACAATAAGGAGAATGGGGTAGGATACCGTGAAACTTATCAGCATGAAAATGAGATCCAAGGAACTGCAAAACAGCCGCCGGCATCTTTCCCGAAGTATCTCCCCGTCTGGGATAACGAAACAGAAAAGTATGGGATCCTGATTTTGCACCATGCATAGTTACTTGAGCATAGTAGCTAACGACTCGGTAGATACCCACCGCTTCAACCCTTTGAGCACTATGACCATGGAAAGGATGCCGACCCAACTTTCCCAGATCTCTTCCCTGAGGGCAAGGGCGAGGTGGAGGAGCTTACCCCAACCATTGGTAGCGAAGTTCACGGTATCCAACTAAGTCAACTGACCGATAAGGGTAAAGAACAGCTGGCTTTGTATATCGCCCAAAGGAAAGTTGTCGGTATGTTATTGCATATAAAGGCGAATGATTCTTGACAAAATTACTGACGGAGTCTTTCAGCTTTCCGAAACCAGGACTTCGCCCAGCTCCCCATCGAGAAAGCCCTGGAGTTTGGTAGTTATTTCGGTAGACATCATATTCATCAGAGCTCTGGAGCACCTAAGGGCTTCCCCGAGATTCACCTCGTTCACCGTGGAGCAGACGATAGGAGTGGAGCAGAATTCCTGGAAACCCACACCAACTCGCTTACCTGGCACTCTGATGTTACTTTCGAAAAACAGCCTCCTGGCACTACATTCTTGTATTTGTTGGATGGCCCGACAAGCGGCGGAGATACTCTGTTCTGTAATATGGCCCAGGCTTACAGACGGCTGTCACCTGAGTTCCGCAAGCGACTGCATGGACTGAAGGCTGTTCACTCTGGTGTTGAGCAGGTCAACAACAGTCTGAACAAGGGCGGTATTGCACGGCGCGACCCAATAACCACTGAGCACCCAATCGTGAGGACACATCCTGTCACTGGGGAGAAAGCTCTTTTCGTGAACCCACAATGTGAGTCCTCCTTCGAAACGGTGTAGTCGGTATTAGGTTTCTAACAATAATTAGTTACCCGATACATCGTCGGATACAAGAAAGAAGAGTCGGACTTCCTCCTCAAATTCTTATACGATCATATTGCCTTGTCCCAAGACATTCAGACTCGCGTCAGGTGGCGACCAAATACTGTGGTTGTCTGGGATGTAAGTACCCATGTATAGCCTGTTTGATGTAAGTGATATTGACTACATTTTAGAACCGAGTTGTTGCACACAGTGCCATTTTCGATTGGGAGGATGGTCAGAGGCGTCATCTCGCAAGAATCACACCACAGGCGGAAAGACCGTACGAAACTCCATTCGAAGGGTAAATGCCTAAGCCTTCGCTATGTTTCAAGTCACCGCATCGGAGATACGAATGTGGTATCCAAATACATGATATTGAGATAGAAACGATCTATGTTGACGAATAAGAATCGCTTTTTGGCACTCTGATAAGCGTTGCCTTCGCAGCAGAGATACTTTCTAGTTAAGCTAAAACCAGTAAGTCTCACAGCCTACGAGCCTGAGCTCTTAGAGTGGCGTAGAACAGTTTGTCAAATTTTTCAAGAAATTGCCGGTCTTGGTTTGTATTCCGTTTGGACTTTCAAGGGCTTAGCTTATGATTCATACTGGAGCTGCGCCCTTCACCTTTCAAGTTTTTTGCGACTATTCACTTCAAAGAGAGGATGATGGTCTTTGACGACCAAGGCGATGTTCATTTATGCCGGGATGGTATACTGCTTGATAACTCTCGGGAGTTTTCATCAGAAGGACTAGGAGGTATTATCAAGATTGCTGGAGGTGCTAAATGAGAGCGCGACGAGGGCTTTTCGGGGAGTTCCAACTCGGCAGCCATGGTTCCGACGTGTTTAGCTGTCTTCCCAGACTTGGTGGTGCTTGAAGTGCGGGAGTAACCGGGATGCTCTACTTCCTTATGCTCTGCGGACCCATCCAAGTGTTCCCAGGTGATATCACCCTTGTCACTCTGGCAAGTTCCTGTCGGAAGTTGTAGTTCTCGGCCATCGGTCGCCATCTGAAGAGTGAGGATTGGCAGGAGACCAAGGTCTGTATGATTTGATCTGTTGCGCAGTTGACGAGTATCAAGAGTGACCCCATGGGCTGTAAGGAGATACATCAAAGGCTAAGCCGGTGAAGGAATAAATTTATGGATGAGTGCCAACGTGACAGCGCCAAGGTAGCAACGGAATGTAGAATGTCAATTCACTCTGGAATGGACATGTCACCCTGTGACATCCGCCTGCATTCCCAAAGAGGAAGAAGGCACCTGACGATGCTTTGTCAAACGAAACATGCCAGCTCACTTCACAGTCTCCTCTACTCAAACATTCTTTGTCCGGTCATATCGATGCATGACGCCAACCTTCCATTCTCGAAACTCCCTTGCCGACTTTGGTAACATCCTGTTCCTACTCTTCAAAGTTTCTGAGATAGCAGACAAGACGCTGGATGAAAGTCGAAGTTCCTCCAGGGACAAAGATGACGCCTTGCCACTAGCCGGATGAAGCATCCCATCCACGTCGACGACATCCTGGAATAGGATTTTCATGGCCCGTTGCGCAGTTATACTGTGGTCTGAGCTAGAGTTCGAATATCGCATATCCGGATTGAAGACCCAGATCTATACGTCAAGGAGTCACAAACAGGTATCAAAAACGAAAACAAGACCGAAAGACAATGAATCGACATACCAGTAACCCACTCCCTTGTCCACAGTGGAGAACAAATCGTCGAGCGCTTTCTCTCTCAATCAACTCCAACAATTGAGCTGCTACAACTGCCTCCAAAGGATGGCTTTCCCATTCTGGGTCTTCGCACTCGCCTTCCGACTGCTTGCTTACAGATAAGCTTGTTTTGAATAGTCGCCATCCTTTAGCAACTGTGTCTTCAACTCCCACCTGGCTATTGCAATTCTCACAAAGCAACTCCATCTGTGTTTCTGTTGTTGAAGAGGCTGTTGTACTCTTTGTTTCAACCTAATATAATATATTTATCAGCAATCCGATGCTATGCAAGCTGCGAATTTAGGAAAACGTCGTGGCTTGGTTATGAAGCGCATATGAAGATCAGCACTTATTATATTTGTAAGGTACTACTGTTGACTATCTGTTTCTTGATCATTAAAGGATGATTCAGGGTAAAGTCTTCCAACCTATCCCAGAGTTCTTTGCCATATGTACCTCGTTATAATCGCGTCGATCCCATGACTTTGGGTAAGCAGACCGAATCAACGGAGAAATGCAGCGAGGTGAAACCTTGATCCCGAGCCAAACACGCTGAAGACCAAACGGCAACCACGGCGCAGTGCGAAATCCATCACGAAGAAGATAACTGCACCTGGCCGTGATGCCATTCAGACTCCATAACAGATGTCTGACCAAGATAGAAACCAAGACACACTAATTATAGGGCAATTGTATCGAAGACCAAAGCATGGTTATGAAATGGCCTCCTTCTTTTTTGCCCAAGCCAAGCATTAGGGTAGGGTTAAAATAAACAATACCTAGGCATAGAGCGCAAAAGGTACAACAACAATCCTAGTTAAGAATCAACCGGAAGAGATGTCCGTGCTTACCTGTTTCAAGCCTCTACAGTCGGAGTCAGTGAGCAGAAAGGTCGCGCTATCCACAAGAACAGTCCCTGAAGTTGCGACAACCTGATTCGCGGCACCGTATCCCTTAACTGTAGCATTCTGGTCTTCAGCTGTAGCGCTGTTCTCATGATCATGATTATGATCATGGTCCTCATGAGGATCCGGCTTGTGGCAATGCCAAAAATCCATCATCTCAGCCCAATTCCCACTGGGCAAATCCTTCCATACCCACCCCTGCGTATCCTTCTCTGCAGCATCAGAGCTACGCGGCATATGCGAATCGAGGAGAATACTCCTACAATGGCGACAGCGAAGCCTAGTACAGGAAGTCATGTCGGTCGCGGTCCACGGCACAAAGCTGTCCATATGTTCTTCCCTTGAGAGCAACGATGCATCTTCATCATCGATCTGCATTCGAAACGAGTATTCCTGCTGATCATGTCCATTTCCTCGAGGATCTGTAGCTCGCTGTCCAGCTACGCTCAAGGCCAACCGAGATGCTTCATTGACACGGGCTGGTAATTTGATCGTATCTGTGACATCGTCGTGCGGCGATGCGAGAGATACTGTAATAGCACGACGAGAATCGGATAAACAGATCTCTGGTCGGACATTTTGCAATCGTATCGCCTCCGGCAGCGATACGTAGAGAGTAATGTGGCGGATGTTAGGGAGAAGTTCGGCGTGTAGATAGAGCGCCACAGGCTCGTTTTGTTGCTGCGCTGCGGACATTATAGGGAAAATATATGTGAATTTATGGTATGATTGGACTGTTAGCTGCCTTTATTAGTATGGTTTTTGTTTTAATCAAGTCATGGACGTGAATTGTAGAAGCGACTGTGGTAAAAAATGTTGAGAGGTTATGGTCAAATTGCCCAAATATTACTCCATTAAACAAGCTCTAAGCCGCGTATCACGTGGTATTGTACATGACATTTATGCCTCAGGCATGAATATATGATTCATTTCGTGACCTATCACCATAGAATGTAGTGAGTTAAATGAAGCTTATGACTAACATTTCATATCAAGTAGAACATACATTCGAATCTGATTCTCAGTTTGGGATCAAGGGTGGTTCTATCTCCAACCCAATGCTTTTCGAGCTGTTATTTGTCACAAATTGATCAGAATAGTAATAAAAACAGGATATTTCCGATGGCCAAAAACCATGCATATCGTACATTATATAGCCAGTCAACATGCCAATAAAGCCAATCTGAGTGAATACGACTAGAATATAAATTGCCACCCCATCAAACAAATCCGCCCCAACCATTGAACTCCTCACCGAACTTGACAGCAGCTTTCAAATAGTACTGCTCCGGATCTCCCCATGTCGCAGCAGCTTCCTTACACGCGCGAATTGCCTTGACATAGTGTGCATCTGTCGAATACTCGCCCTTAATAGCCTTCTGCGCCGTCCACTTCCAGTCTCTTCCTTTCAATTCGTAGTTCATAATCTGGTCGAGCTTAATTTCCGGCCTTAATTGCGCAATGTATACAACTAGAGTGAGAAGCCACCACTGCCTGACGAGTGCATATTGGAAGCGTGTTGGGATCAGTGGTAGAAGAATACGGACGGCATGGCTGGTTGTCAGCGTGTGGACGAGGAAGAAGTCATAGTTGTCCGATGTCTCAAATTGAGTGGCGGTTAGAAGAGCCACGGCGACCTCCTGGCTTTCGCGAAATTGTTTCACGGGATCTTCGATTTTCCACGCATTCCAGTGATTGAGGAGTGCGGCTTCATGGTGACGTAGAATCGTCTCTATGTTGTTGTTGCCTGGGGTCCCGAAGAGGCCGTTGAACTGCTTGTCGACTCGTACCTTGTTTAGAATCTCGAGTAGGGAGGTAGAAGAGTAGAGAGACTCTGCCTGTGAATAAGAAGGGTCGTCTATATACTTATGCATTTTCCCGTAGCACGTAGCTGCAAGGGCTAGGGCTTCCATGGCGATTTCACGGCTGGACATCTCAAATGCATAGGCAAGGTGGATTAAGGGGTGACCAACTAAGCCAGGTCAGCTTTATCGAACTATCACTAGTATTAGGATCACCATACGGTCATCAACAAGGGAATTGAATAGCGGCTCCTTTCCGGAAAATAAATAATCTGCGAGGACTTGCTTCCAATCGTATCCGTGACGGACAAGTTCGTCCTCAAAAAAGTCCACAAACGCTCTTTGATATCTAGATTGACGTTAGGTACGTCTTTCTATTAAAGGCTAGACTATGCGTAAGCCCAGGGATGCAGTAAGGATACATACTCTCGATGGCTCAAGTAGTCTCTCCAGTCATAGGTACTGATTTCACCTGGAGAATCAACCCAAGGGTCCAAAAGCTTAGACTCGGCCTCGTAGATACGATTTAGATCATCCGCGTCTGCTCCTTGAAGGAAAGAAGAGCTCAGAATCTACATAAAGTCAATTCTGCTTTTGGTATGAAAGATACAATAGAGTATGGCTTACATGAGGCGCATGGTTATGGAACTTTCGTTCGTTGTACAGTACGGAATAGTTGGCATGATTCAACTTCAGCAAATGTTTGAGAGCCCGAGCCGGCTTCTCCTGTGCTGTATCGATCTCATGAATCTTGACTGTCGGGATATCGATAAAGGTTCGATCGCGCCATGGCAAGAAGCTCTTCAAGGAAGGCAGAGAAATAGATAACATAGTTATATCGAGTAGTATACTCCTGTGTGGAGCTTCTCACGTTGGGTTCAACTGTTAACAATGTTTGACACCCTGCGGCCTTGTTAGAATGTTCAAGCGGTATTACAATATAATATACTAAAATGAATCGCACTGAGTGCTGTCGTTCTGGCGATCCCAGCAAAATGTGGGGAAAGAAAGTTGTTGGGGCGAATTGGATGAATGAGGCCTTGGTGGCCTGAGGGCCTTAGATGATGTATGTGACGTCACCCGTTCTTGTAAACCAATTTTTTAATTGAAGTACATTTCTTCTTCAAGTTCTATGTTCTATGTTCTGTTGTGTAGGGTCATAATAGGCTAAGTACTAGTAGTTATATCCAGGCTTCTTAGTCGTTGTAATCTCATTTCCCATCGCTTTTCCCATGGGTTTCAGCGGTTTCAGCGTGCGTGGGCACTTCTTCAACTACGCCTGCAAGGATATCCACATCAGACCGTGGCCCAGTGAAGTTCTTGCGGCCATCAATGACCCATTGGAATGTCGAGATGACAAGAATAATACCAAAAGCAGCGACACAGTAGTCTAGTACCGCGTATTTTGTCAGCAGTCTTGACAATAAACTCACTTAGAAACGATGACACTTACTCATACTGCTACCAGTCGCAGGCAACACTGGCGGGAAGAGGAATAGCACTGTCGTGAGGCTGATGTAGGTAAGAGCAATCTACAAGTAGTGTTAGCTAACAGCCCTGTCGTGATGATTCTGAGCGGGCGTACTATGTTGGCGATCCAGCCTAAAGTATTCGGGAGAACAAATGTGCGTTCAGGCAGCATAGTGCGACCACGTAGGCAGTTCACTGCAATCGGAATACCGTATGAGATGTCAAGCATCACTACTGACGATGAGATAATAGCGTTGAACGCACTGCCCGGGTTAGTAAACATATAGTGTTATTATGCATTAATGATGAGAAAACATACCTCGAAGACCCGAGAAAAATAAGCCCGAAGACAGTGATAACAGCAAACGACAGATACACGGCGTTTAGTGGAACATTGAGCTTTGGATGAACCCTGGAAAAGAAGGGGGAAGCAGGAAGACCGCCATCTCTGCCCATCGTTATCAGTTTTGCTTTAGAAGAGGTATTACTCTGAGGCCATCATATTTACCTTGCAAAAGCATAGATCATACGGCTACTAGTAGTCATGATACTCGTGGCTGCGAAAAGGATGCAAACAAGAGGGAACCTTGGGGTTATCAGTTAGTAATATATTGGCGCTGACAGTCGGAAGAGGGACGTACATTAGAAGACAGATTGACCCGGCATTATTTCCAGTTGCATCCTTAAAGATCTGCAGAAGACATCCCGCAGCAGAATCGATGACATTGTAGATATCACCGGCAACAAAGAGGAGCACAATCAAAAAGATCGAACCTGTCACGGCACCAATACAGACGCACCCTATCATAATCTTAGGGCCCACGACAGATGGATTGGGGATTTCTGCAACGGAGTCAATTAGTAAAGCGGCTTTCCGCAGTTGTGCATATGTTGCATACCTTCGATCATATGGGCAACTCCATCCTATACAATGATCAGTGGCTTGCTATAGAGCTGAGCGAATGGCGATAACTTACAAATCCTGTGAGACCAAGTCCACCTTGAAGAAGCTACATATGAGTTAGATATGCAATTCGTCAACGAATTCAATGCGCACAACGTACTCCAAGTAGCCAAGCGACACCATCCGGCCCTATGACCAATTAGCCTCGGTCCAAGACCTAAACAGAGAGAGAGAATCCACATACATCCTGTTTCGTTGATAAATTTTCCGAACACAAGTCTGATTTGGTCAGTACTCTTAACACGAAACCGGAATATGAATGTGAGCCTCACTCGCCCGAGTTGTAGTTAGGTGACGAGCATGCAAGAAGCGTTATCGAGACGATGGCAAATCCGGTTAAGGACCAAATGACTTGAGTGAAGTCAGTACTTTTATCCGCTGTAAAAAGAAAGGGTAATGCTGTTCTAACTCACAGGCACCCTTAGTGAAGTACGGAAGACCATTGTTCATGAGAGTGTTGATGATGAACGAAGCAATATTATAGCCAGTATAAATCAAAAATTGGTGCCAGCGTTGTGCTTCAAAGGTCTAATAGGAATAATCAGCCGGCGAGGTCATCATAGTGAAGCATGTGGCTCTTACCGGATGTAATAATGAGATTATACCCAGAATCAACTCGCTGCCCAGCAGGCCACCAGTGGCGGTCAATGCAAGCTAGACTAATTAGCCCGGATTGTTTCCAACATATGTCATATCAACCTACCCAGCCAGAAACATTGGCCCAGCCGGTAATCCATGAAAGTATGGGCATCCATCGCTCCCAAGAAACTTATGTCGTTTAGCACATTGTATGGGGCGAATATAGTAACAATGAACACTCACTAACTGTTGGGGCAGGAAGTTAGTCATGACTCTAGTCGAATTGTCACTAGGATCTAGCATAAACTTACCTGCAACCCAATGGTATTGTCCACCAGCCCTGGATCCACAGTCAGTTGAGACAAGAGACGAGATGTATGACCGAGTTGTACTCACGTGGGATAAGCGGACAAGAACTCGGCAAGCGAAGTTGCTATACAAAGGTTACATACACCTGCCGTAACCAAGCCTATAGAGAACTAGTTAGAAGGGGGCTGTATATAGTATTCTAAGGAAAAAGGATATGGAAGAAAAGCAAGAAAAACTAAACTAGGGCTGTCTTACCCCAGACAACGCTTACACAGCCTCCAGATGGGAGGCTAAGAGATAAACTTGCCGACAGAGCGGTCCAAGACTGCAAAAAGTTAACCGCTTTCCAAGGTCTCGTGGCTCGGTATGCTTTTTGCCAGCGTGCCCCTGCAGCATCGATCATGGGCATCCAATGGCGGAGGGGTCTTTGCGTTCAGTCACATACATTCAGAATAGCAAAGGCCAATCCTAACATAGACCTGAATTAGGAACGTGAGAGAGTCAGTCTCGGTCAACATAAGATGCTTAGAGACACTGGAACGTACAAGAGTGAGAAATTTCGCTTCAACTCGGCCTTATGGCCCATGGCTGCCAACTGGGCTTCATCGTCCCCCGGAATGCCTTTCATGGCGGACGTATCGGCCATTGCAAGGATAGTTGATCCCGAACCAATGTTAAAACCAAGAAGACAAATGGATCAAAGACCTAGACAGAAAGAAAAAACCAGAATGAGAGAAAAAACTATCAAAGGATATCGACTTAAGGGGACTAGGTATGGGAAGGGTACTGATCACACGAAGGGGAAGAGAAGAAGGTGGAAAAAAGGATAAAACAACACACCACAGACACAACCCTCCACCATGAGACGCACTCATCCCTTTTCCCTGTTTCCTCCACCGGGTTCTGTCCGTCTCGGGCAGCATTTCCCCCAAACTCGGCCATCAAACGTTCTAGGAAACCGGGCCCACCGCGGATTGCGGGGGATAGTGGTGGCGACAGGACCGTGGTTACCTACCGTGTAATGGGGTCAATCTCAACCTTGATAGCGACATACTCCGGAGTAGCTCCGATAAGGCGTGTAGAAATCCATGGGTGGAGCAGATCGTCAGAGGTATACTCCATCATACAGCGCCATTATTCGTCATCATCGCCGAGAACCAGGCACCGAACACCAGTGAGAACAAGTTAATCGGTGGATCAACAGTGATTAAGGTATTAGGATATGGAGCCAGCTTCCATCGGTCCAGAGGAACTGCAGACTTCGGTTGGCTATTCTCGGAGCTTGTTCTTAATTGTAATATCGAAATATAATAGAAAGATAGATAACCATCAGCAGGAAAAGAGATATGGATGTTAGTTATCGAAAGGGTTGAGTCATGAAATTCAACCGTTGATAAGGCTGTGTGTGGAGTTCATTAATATGTACAGCTGACAACTGAATACAAAATTCCCCGACCATGCCTCAGGCCACGGTTTATCACGAGATATGCAAAGAATCTTCCCGAGCCTCATAGCCATTCATCATCTTCATGACGCTCAAATGTAACATTATATACACATTCCCGAGACCTTGGTCCATACCTATACACAACTAATACCACCACCCCAATCATATTTCCAATAATGTCAGTGTGCCCAAGCATCCACTTCTGTTTACTTCGAACTATCACCGTCGGCATGGACAAGATGGTCGGTCCGAACGATGTAGTCTTCATCTCCATTGGTAGCGCCATTTTCCTCAGTAACATCATTGTGATGGGAAATGCTCTTCTCCGCCCTTGAGCCTGAAATGGGGCCTTCAAGAGAAGAATCAGAATCGTTGCTAGGAGCAGCGACGGTCTTATTCTTCAATTTCGCTCCGACCCCAGCGGGGCTCTTGCCTTTCCCTTTACTGCTAGTCGAGTGACTACTCACGCTCCGCATAGGTTGCTGTCCTTGCTTCCCCTTACCTTTGCCGCTGCTTGTAGGCAGGTGGTCACCATTCGTAACAGGCCCACCTATACTACCATTCAGTTGGTCTCCCAGCTCGAGTGCTTCAAGGGCATCCGCGATAGTTCGAGGTGGCTGCGCCCCAGAGTTGCCGCCTGAATCTTGCTTCTTATCAACAGACTCGAATGTCTGTCGGATACGTTCGAAATGCTCCAGCTCTTTGGCACTGCATGTCGTTAGTCTTCTTTTGTTTCAAGGAACCCATAGCAACATATCAATGAAACATACCTAACACTGGGGACGAGTTCGTTCTGTGCCTGAATGAAATCCTCCTCGGCAACCGTAACAGTGACATCTTCCGGTGTGGCAAGGTGGTCAAAGAAGTAAGCAGTGCTGACAGGTTCTCCTGGCAGCTGCTTGATCTTTTCATCCACTGCTGTTGCCTTCCGGGTGATGGCCTTTAGCATAGCATCAGAACACAGGGCATACAAGTCAGCACCCGTGTACGTAAGAGGCAGCTGCTCCGCAACTCTGCTCAGTGATACCTCAGGTGCAAGAGCAAACTTTCTTGTAAGCGCTTCTAGAATCGTAGCTTGTTTCTCGTGTGTGTCAGACACTCCAAGGTAGAGCATCTTGTCGAAACGACCGGGACGTAGGAGTGCCGTGTCCAACAAATCCGGACGATTTGTAGCGCCAATCACGAAGACACCGCCGCTGTTTTCCTCACCGCCGTTCATACCATCTAGCTCGGCAAGCAGCTGACTGACGATACGGTCCATTACACCACCGCTATCTCCTTGGTTTCCACGCTTCGGTGCGACCGAATCCAGTTCATCAAAGAATACAACACACGGGCGAGCATCCCGAGCGCGTTGAAACACGCGCCTAACATTCGCTTCGGATTCACCAATATACATATTAAGCAACTCAGGCCCCTTGACGGAGAAGAAGTTCAAAGAGAACTCTGTGGCAATCGCCTTGGCGAGTAAAGTCTTTCCAGTACCCGGCGGTCCGTAGAATAGGATACCGCTGCGTTTCTTCATGCCTTTGGCGAACAGTTCAGGTCGCTCTAGGGGCAGTTGGATGGTTTCAATGAGAGCATCCTTGACGTTTGTCAAACCACCCACATCATCCCAGCCAACGTTCGGGATCTTTGGCGCCCCAATAGAGTCAGCAAAATTCTTCCTCGCGGCATCAACAGCTGCGTCAAAGTCGGCCTTGGTAACACCTCGGGCTGCATCACCCCCGGAAACAAGAACGTCCCTGGTGCTAACTTTTGACTCTGAGTTTTCGCTTGCGGCTTCGGCTAATTTCTCCAGACGTGCAGCCCTCACGGAAGAAGCACGTTCAACAACGTCAACCAAATCTCCCGCGACTAAAGCAGCAGTCTTAAGTGCTACCGAGCCTAGATCTACATCAGGGGCGATCTTGATGCCCCTTTCGGAAACAGCATTATGAAGGATGCCTTCACGCTCCTTTTCCTCGGGTGCCATCATCTCGAATTCATGAGTAAACATGCTGCGAATGCCCTCCGGGATCTGTTCGACATCGGTTGTCGTGGCCACTATGACCCTTGCATCAGCCACGATCTCATTCATTGCGGAAATGATCCTGTCCGCCGTTAAGACCTCAATATGCTTAATCAGAAGGGCTGTGCAGCTGGCTCCACAATGGAATGCGCGGTCAGCTCTAGCCTTCAGGTATGCTTCCGTTTTCACGTCACCACCGTTCGCTCCGCCTTCGGTTAATATATCGTAGGAGTCGATCGAGAAGGTATGTAGACCAATATCTGCGCATGCTCGTGTTGCAAGCGTAGCCTTTCCGATGTGTCTTTGTTGGGATCTCAGTAGTATGACGACGGGTTTCATGCCGAGCTGGACGGCGCGAGGACTCGTAGCTACCGACATCAGGTCTCGGATGCGCTCTTGGAGAGGCGGTACATACGACTGCGGCGATTCGGTTACCAGACCATGAGGGGTTTGGACATCGCCAGCAGTCTTCGGGACGGCCTTCACCCCAAGCCAGTATTCCCAGCCATTGTTCAGAGTACCCGGGACTCTGCTCACATCGCTCCCAGCCTGTACCATTCTGGTAGTCGCCGAATCAATGATAGCAACACCCCCCCACTGGTCTTCTCTCGCTTCGTCTGGCTCATCCGACAAGCTAGGAAGCACTTGTCCAACGCGAAACCAGGCGACGCCAACCTTTCTTGATCCGGCACGATCGGAATCTACCACCTGGCCTAACCGGGTTGTAAGATCATCATCCGGAGCTGCACCGTCGCTCGCCGTAGGGCCTGCGAACACAGCTCTACCGAGAGCTTCATCAACGCTGATTCCCACGAGATCTCCACTTTTGAGCAGGCGCCGTTTGGACTCGAAATATTGTTTGAGCCCGGCAAACAACGCCGGTTGAAGAGCACGATCCATGGAGAGTGGCGTAGATACTTTGAGCAAAGTGACTTCCTTTGCCAAAGGTGGGTTTCTGGCGGAACTTGCCTTCATCTGGTTCAGAAGACCAGGTTTCGAACTTCCAGTGCCTCCAATGAAAGCCATCGGTGATATGCGAAGATATTTCGGGTTCTCCAAGTTGTTCAAGAGTAGAGGAGGAACAAAGACTGAGGGTGTCAACCGCAGCGGAGGGCGTTGGGAGATGCTTGAGCGTCTCTCCCCAGACTGACTGATTGAATACCGGGGTTTGGCGGATGGCAGGCCGGGCACACCATAGATTTTGACCGCGCGCCAATCACCAGCATCTTCATTCTGTTCATTGAAGCTCCCCAATTTGATGGAGGCGAATATATTGGATTGCGGCTCTTCTGTGGCCTCGATTCTCACCCAATCCCCAGAAAAGCAGCCTATCTTCGCAAGTGTATTGATATCTACAAATATGAACGACTCAGAGTCATCTTCTTCCCGCGGCCTGGGATGTAAGAGTTCATTGGGTATGCCCCGCAGTAGCCCCTCTGCCTTAAAGACCTTACCACCGCCAACTCGTCCGGGGCGCATGGTTGACGAAGTAAAGTTTGAGGCCACGGATCCTGGAGTATGAATGCCGTCGGCCCGTCGGCCTCCTGCACGTGGAGTTGCAGCAGTCATCGCGGACATGACGCCAGATTGAGGCAGTTCAGGGGCAGAAAGGGAAATCATGTCATCCAAAGAATCATCCGAGGTGTCACTCATGTTCCCTCCAGAGCCTTCCGTCTCCGACTCATCGGCCGTAGAGGTACTGTCCACCTCCGTGTTGCTCTCTGTGGCCTTCTCTTCAGCAGCCGAGTAAAATTGTTCATTGGAAGTATCATCGGCCTCGTCTTCGGCTACCTGCTTGAGTAAGCCTGAGCCCGACCTCAGACTTCGCTGAGTCCGATGGCCATGCGGCCGCGCTTGAACCAGGACAATTTTTGTTGTCGGCATTAGCAGACCTTGGGAAACGGGTTCGCAGAACGAGATTTGTGCCGGGGGTGGTGGCGCATATGTTATGGGGTGTGGTGGTAGGGGAAGCGGTAGCACATCGCCAGTATGGACTACCTGCTGCGCTCCCAGGGCCTCGCGTACCGCAGCAGTAAGCCTTTCTTCAGCCTCGGCCGCAGCCTTCTTGGAATACCTTTTGGTGTCCAATCCCTTCCCCGCTTTCGCCCAAAGTCCATTGGGTCCATGTAAGCTGTTAGTGAACCCACCAGCAAACTTATTCTGAATATCATCATGATTACGAAGTAGGTTTCTCTCTACTGTAACATAGATGGTATCTAGGCGCAAAGGAGTAACATCCAGAACCCTTATCTCGACAGATCGCTGGGATTGGAGTGAGTGCCGGGTGGGATCGAGCTTGCTCAGGGCTTGCATGAATGGCTGCAATGAATCTGCAGAGTCGGGGAAAGCAATGGTCGAATGAGGAAGCGGGGATCCGAGAGGACGGCTTTTAGACTGTGGCCGAACGGGGATGATGGTCCAAGCCAGGTCCTCGACAGAGCTATAACCCGGAACGTATGGTGAGATAGCGACATGGCGGACTTCGCTACTTTCCTGTCCTTCGTCTACAACCCAGCACAGAGGGAGAAGTCAGAGAAGTTACCTAGATAGCTCAATCTCGCTTACCGGTGGAAGACAATTGAAAGAAGCCATTTGCCAAATCGTCGGACAGGACACCGACATTTCCACGCAGCTGGTGGTCCAAGGTAAATCGCGCGGAGATAGGAGCTCTGTTGCGCAGACGCCTCCGACCTGCATTTCGCCTCCGTCGTGTCGTCTGCTCAGGATTCAAGTCACGGCGCTCGAGATCCATGTTGGGGGGTGTAGTGTGTCCACTCGATTACCGTCGGCCTGCAGGTAGATGTCGTGTTTCAAGCAAGAGAAAATTGACTGGGAGAAAACAAGTAAGCCAGATCAACCAGTCATATCCATCAGTAGACTGTCCTCGGCAAGAATTGCATTAACGTCCTAGGGAGTGGTATAATTCACCGATCAACTGCACGCAAGTGATCTTGGAGAAAGTCCGGGGGAACCGGTTGCCGGGCTCTCGGCACCGCCCGCACTTTCTGCCCATTTCCGAAGCCGAGGTCCAATAGGTCCCATCTGCTTCACGAGATTTGATTACTAGTCCCTATTAGGTAGTACTATCCATACACCTCCAAGTACTTGCACCAGGCACAGAGTAGGTAAGATGGCCCATATCTCAATGACTCTGGGAATACCTCGTAGGTAAAAAGGCACTACAATCGGTCTATTGGGTGCCATAGCTCATACTGTACGTACATCTACCTTTATTATCTAAGGCTCAAAAGATATCATATTGTTCGCAACGTCCCAGAACAAAGAAATTAGACCCGATTTGATTATATACAAACAAAACACGTGGTCATTTAGCGATACCTAGGCCATCAAACTTCAACCGAAAATAAACTATCCAAGATAAACTAAAACTACCATTGCCGAACTACATGCAGTTGTGAATTGGCACCAGAAAGCATGCGGGGCGTCTACACATGAGCTCTCCCTTCCAGGTGGCATTTCAGTGACATGATGTCCTAGGGTAAGGGTGTACAAGCTTATCAATGAACAGCTATTAGATAGCCAGAATGAGAATTTCGTCATCTTGACAGTAACTCTAGACTATGGTCAATGTATACATCGTCCGACCTACCGCATCTGAACAGAGGATGCATTGAAACACAGGAAATCCCAGAATGGTATTCTAAGATCTAGAGAGTATGGCTATGAGCCAGTGCTGAACCATGGCGCATGATTGAGTCAAGAATCCGGCTGGAGCATTGGGCTGATACGACGACTCACGAGCGCGTATATCAATCGCACATCCTTTAAAATATTGAACCACCGTGTGGGCAGTCGACGACATCTCGGAGCCTGTTTGATGAGTGTATCTTTCATGTGTGGTTAAATAGGTCTACTCTTTCCGTGATAAGCTCCATTGTCATTATTTTAAATGCTCATTGCCCGTGTATACGTCATGAATGTAAAGTTAGATGTGAAGAGGAAGAGATGCAAGGCAGCGTTATAGGAGTCAGACCTTGGATGGAAGTGAGCGACATGGCTACTGTGTCCTAAGACACATCAGCTCGAACACGCTGCTCATATAGAAAACGAATATGCCATGCAAGGAGCGAAAGGCTTATGAATGAGACTGCACCTTGTGTTCAGCCGAGACTGTACGCAGTACTCCCGGGGCGAGGCCTACCCTCTGAAACCTTTGTTGCAGAGCTTTTTATCACCACACAGATGGATTCCAAATGGGACCCGTGAAACGCAACTTTTTGTACGCGAAGCTTAGAGTTCCTGAAGTGAAGTGTCAAGGAATGATTACAGATCGACAAATTCAGAGCCATGCCTCCGAAGCACTCGTATGTTGTCATAGGGAGCGAATATCATGATGATCACCCTGCGAGTAGTAGTTCGCTTGGGGATTTTGCAGTGCCTTTCAGGCTGTCAAATTGCGAAATCTAGCCAGGGCTTGATTTACGTAGATGAACGGCAGCTGCGTCATCCCTATGCTCCACAATGACTTGAAAATTGTTGTGGACGTGCTTGTTCAGCTAGATTCTAGAGAACTAAGCATTCATGAATCTTGCTGTCTGGGAATCTTGCTACCTAAGGTGGGATTCGCCGAGACCAGTCGTGATCACCGACTTACGCAAGACACGAGGGTATCAAGGCATCCATATTTCTGCCCTCACCCACGAACATCCACTATCTATGGTACAGGCCGTAAATGGTCAGGATAATATACCTCAGGCAGCAATGAAAGACTGTACTCCGTAGAATTGAGGGATGAAATACGGAGTATAGTCTAACTGGTAGCGGAATAGGCCCATAGATGTTGTAAGTGCATACTCCGGATATCCTGGTGGGTCAATCAGGAGAATAGGCACTTGCATAAGTACTAGTACTCTGTAGAGCCTCTTTTCAAACATTTCTCCAGAAGAGGACAGATCACCAGATTATTGGTGGAGGAGGGCTCTCGTCGCTCTCTATTGTTTGGTCTTGGGAGGAGAGTACTATTTACTTTAACTTGACAAGGTATAGCGGGGCCGAACGGTAATTCCAATGGGGTAAATCCCGCAAAAGAGAAGCGGGAAAGAAAGCAAAACAAAAAAATAAAAACAAAAGAAAAGAAAAGAAAAGAAAAGAAAAAAAAAAAAAAAAATAACCTGACAGAAAGTCAGCAGTCACCGACAGTTGGACTCTGCCTGAGTCACCTAATTGGCTGCCGTTTGATTTCAAGCGGTCGGAGGATTGACCAGGAAGAGACCAGTGCAGCAGCTCATCGTCATGAGGCTCATGTACATAAATTGAGGTGGAGGTTGTGGCCATGAGGCGAATGCTTACTGGCCCAAGATGAAAAAGCTCTCAGAAAGGCGAGGAGTATCTAGAACATAGGTGGATGAAAGTGAAGATTAGTTGGCATGTCGTGTACTACTAGTTAGTAGTCTGTACATGTACTACGGCAGGTTCTTTGACCCGGTCCCGGCCCTACGAGCGACTTGCCAATTTCAGAAATGGTCCTTGCGAAAGCGAGCCAATACAATTGCTTACTTCCCGTTGGCAGTGTCGAACATCATATGACGAGAATGGTGATGATGATGGCAGTGATGCACTGGTGGAACTCTAAATATTTGGACTCCAAGCGTTCGCAATCCTGAGATTACCATCTTGTAACGCTACATGAAAAATATCCCCTGTGTATATTCATGGCAAAAAAAAAAAAAAAAAAAAAAAAAAAAAAAAAAAAAAAAAAAAAAAAAAAAAAAAAAAAAAAAAAAAAAAAAAAAAAAAGGAGAGAGAGAGAGAGAAGGAAAAGAAATTTTCTCTATAGTTCAGTGGTTGAGATTCGGGTTCCGCGGGGACCAGAAAGGGAAAAAGGGTTCAGATTCAATCAGGAGTCTAGCCGTATTGGTGGCTATTTTCGGAACGGCTCTTCCGTGAGAAACGAAACACAATCTGGGGGCCAAGTGGGATATTTTACTGGTACAAGATTGAAAACTCAGCAACCCTTGATTGACATACATCGGGAAAAGTGGGACTTCAAGGACGCGGAGAAAGCGAGATAACGGTCCCGATCCATTTTCAAATAAAGAATGAGAATGGATAATTGAGACGGGAGAGAAAACATAGGCTTAAGTCATTGGAGATTGCGTCGTTACGGGTACGTTGGTGTATTGGGAGTAGCCGCTGAACGATGGGCTTACGGCCGAAGATCCCTGGCCAGTGGGGCAGTAAGGCCACGAGTATCCAATGATGGCAGCTGGGACCCACCAGGACTTTTCCAATTGTGGCTTAGATTCCCTCGTCTATCAGGCAGACATCCAAGACGACTCAGCCTCCATCGTTGTCTTTCGTCTTCCAGACATATCATCGAATGTCTATCTCCATCATCTCCCTCGAAGTTCCATATCTACAAGGCTTCAATCCTCCGACCTCCTGCTGCCTTTTTCCACAAATTGATCTTCTCTAAGTACTACTCTATACCAACAGTTTAGAGCGCTGTCAGCCGGCTTCCGCTCCACGGGGCGCCTACCCCTTTTTGTAATTCTCGATTTGAATGACCGGTTCTCGCTCTATACCCGCTCCTTCACTTTGGCGTCATAACAATACCAAGAATAGTAAGAACTGCACCTCGACCACAACTACCTTTTTCTTCGTCTTCTTTTCCCTTTTGCGCCTTATCGCATTGTGCTATCGGCAGTGACCTATAGAATGGCTACTTATTTATGGACCGCTAGACTACTAAATATCGACCGACATCGCTGTGAGCGACTCATAAACCATGTCTTCCGCTCAGCCTGTCGATGAATCAGACCGGCGTCATCCCCGACGTCGAGTACTTAATCGCCCCCCTCCCTCACTCTCGAGTGACTCGTCACCACTCCCGTCGAATCTGCGCTTGATCAAAGGAGAAACTTTCCACTCTTCCAGCCGGCCCCGGTCCGATCGTGATCCAGTACTAGATTTAAAACTGCTACCACGCCGCTCTCCTACATGTCCTAAAGCCTTGGAAGCCATAGCTGCCGGCCAGCGGCGTATGGCCCATATCCTAAACCGCTTCGACCTTGATTCTCTTTCAACGCGCGACTCATCGGAACCCCAAGACGAGCTCCCTGTTCCTCGAGGTATCTTGAGGACACACGTTAAATCCCGTGCTTCAAAAGACGATTCTACCAAGCAATCCGAACCTACACCACAGGAGCCCAAAGAATCCCGGAAGAGGATTCGAAGAGTGAACCACCATACATCCGACAGTGGCTTGGGCAGTTCTATTGGCAGCATCGAAACCATGTCATCTACTAAGGGCAACGGTACGTAGTTGGTGACAAGTCATTCTTTGTCCGCTATGGGGCTAACTCGCCGACAGTGACAGCTGGCCAAGTGTGTCAAGCTAGCGTTGGACACAAATTGTCTGCTACTGCACGCGTTGAGATACAGGGCCGTATTCTTTTCCCCCTGCTTATGAAGGACAAGTTTCAGCTATTCCACCCTCTTGTCCGATGCGCCCATCAGCAGATCGAAAAAGACCAGCTCAAGTGTTTGCGTGACGTCGAGAAGACCCTTCTCTTTTCAACTCCTGTAAGTTGACCACCATAGTAACCTCTTGAGCATCGCTTATATCTCCTTTAGGACGTGAAGGCGCCGACTACAGCCTGGTACTCATTCTGCCGATTCACGATTCACTGCCTTCACGAGACTTCTGGTTACCTTCGGGGCAGGGATTTGACCTTGCCCAACGATGTGCCATATTCGAACAACTACTTCCTCGACCTTATTACCCAGATCAACCGCTTCGCAAGGATCCGGGACCGGTCCCGACAAGAATCAGCGATCAACGGCGAGAAGGCCGCCATCAGGTCCATGTATGTTCATGTCCTTCGTTTCGGGAAGATGATGACTGATTGAGCAATAGTGAGCCCCGACTTACCCTTGAGGGCGGCATGTCTGAAACTGGACGGCCTGCTGAGCTTGTCATGCACAAGGATGGCAAGTCCATTTCCATGCAGACGGGCAAGCCGTACGACGAGCACGCCATCCCGACCTTCAAGCGTACACTAAGTGTGGAAACGGTCGATGAGGGAGTTGAACGGTCCATGGCCCGCCGCAAGAAGAACGCTCCCCCGATGGATATCAACCAAAAGTGCCAGTTCTGCGACAAGGTCTTGAAGCGACCATGTGATCTTACGTAAGTACTATACTCTCATCCAACATATACATGCTAACAAGTAGCAGTAAACACGAGAAGACCCACTCGCGTCCTTACAAGTGCCCTGAAAGGGGTTGCAAGTATTTCGAATTGGGCTTCCCGACCGAGAAGGAGACGGAGCGTCATTACAATGACAAGCACTGCAAGAACCCCCGCTTGTTCAGATGCCATCAGCCTGGCTGCACCTACGCATCTAAGAGGGAGAGCAATTGCAAGCAACACATGGAGAAGACGCACGGTTGGGTGTATGAACGGACAAAGAACAACGGCAAGAACAAGCCTATCAAGCAAGGTTCCGCTCAACCCACTCCCCAGACCAGCGGTATCCCATCTCCTGCTGCCTCCAACCCGACGGGCGATTTCTCTACACCCACGACAGGCCCCACGGTTTCCCCTAGTGAGCCTCCTCTCGCTTTCCCTGAGGCAATACCCTTCTCATTCGCCGACCCTCCCGTTCCAACCCAGACCGAGGACTTCCAGCTGTTCTCGAACAGTCCCACTTCGCTTGGTGGTTCTCCCTATCATAACATGAATGAAGCCCAGGGATTCCCGCCTGGCGCAAATTTCGACCTGAATCAGGCCCATGTGCCTGGTATTGGTAGCCCTGCCTCCGGATCGAGCGAGTTTCTCACACCACCCTCTGGAAGCACTCATTCACCTTATGATCCTATCAATCCATTCCCCGACAACTCACTGTTCTCCTTTGAGCCATACATGCAGCCAAAAACCGAAGAGAGCCTGTTGTTTGTGAGCGGCGGATTTGGCGATGTGCCCAGTATGTTCGAGCAGAACCCCATGGATTTTCTGACCGACCCAATGTACAACTCAACCTTCATGGGCTATGAGACTGTCCAGCCGCAGCTTGAGGCCAATCCAAATGCGCAGTTTGGACTGGATGGTTGGGATGATTTCATGTGCAAGCCCGACCAACCTTCCATGTAAAGTGGAACACCATGAATATGGTTATTTTTGTTTTTAAAAATATGTGCAATACTTGTGGTGTTTGGATAGGGGCCTCGTGACTTAATGGCTTTACGGCGGATTAATGGTGTTCGAATGAGCAAGAATTGGTATCATTGGCAGGGGGAGTTTTCATCACTATTCTTCAACAAACGCATATTTTTATCATAGCAACATCCCAATGCTGTTGAAATTATTTTGTATCGTGGATATCCGAACTCTGGATGTCATTATTTCAAGGACACAATTGCTAGTTCCGTCTAATATCTGGACGACAAATTGCTAGATATCTACACTCTTGCTATTAGCTAGGAATTCCATCTCTTGTCTCAGATCATATTCATCCTTTCCTTTGTAGTCCATCGTATAGTCCGTTTCCATTTTGACTGGGGAACTCAGGATTCATGTAGTACACATGAAGGCCAGAGTATAGATGTTGTCTTGTTACTGTCTTTGCATTTTAACAACTCCCTTGGGAGAGTGTTGCACAATGCATGTCCCTGTCACACTACCTTCACCGTTCTTCGACTAATGGAAACAGGAATCCATAGAAAGTCAGCAGTAAGGATTTAACCAATCACTCTTGTTAACCTACTGCAGGTGGCTCCAATTGCCCAGGTGTGGTCAAGCTTTCAACCTGTTCAAGAAAATCTACTCATTTCCGTGTTCCTAAAAATCTTAAAGTATTTCTGTACAGTGTCAAATACAGTAAACATCATGCTTCATCATATTTTATGTTACAAAATTGAAAGTCATCTACCGATATTTCTCGTAGAATCCTGCCTCCTCCATTCGCTCCTTGACCCTCTGAATGGTTTTCTCGTCGTACAGCTCTTCGGGTTTCTTATCACCCAGAAGAACTTCCTTCTCGTGCTTGGCACTCTCCTCCTTGGTCATACACACAAAATCCTTCAGCTCGAAGGGAAGGAACTTCTGTCCTTCCTTCTCCCACTCAGGGTCAGGCACAAAGCCGCGAGCTGGCCGCTCCCATGGAACGAGAATGAGTCGGCCAGGAAGGCCGGTGATAGCACTCTTTCCTCGCCAGATTTCGTCCACAAGGAAAACGACGTCATCCTTGGTGATTGGAAGACGGAGGCCAATGACATGTTGACCAACCTCAACTCTCGCCAACCGTTCCATGAAACCCTGGGTGGCCGTCTGGACCGAATCGTATATCTTGTCCTTGCCTTTTCTGGCAATGCTGTAGTCTCTTGGGTAGCCTGCAATGTCACAGATGACATGGTTTGCCACGGTATATCCAAAGACTGCAGGCATGGTTCCAAGAACAGGTAAGATTCGTGCACGGAAATCTGGCAGAACGCTGAGCTCGCCAACCTGGCCCTTATTGAACTCTTCCTCTGCAAGCGGCAACAGACTAGCCTTGCCTGGACCGGGCTTCTCCGTCGAGAATACTACCGGGATACCAGTGCTTACTCCGAGGATCTTAAGACGTCGGCGAGTGCTGCGCGAGAGAGGATCGTCCGTGCTAGTCGAGATATCACCCACTGTAACGCACGTAGGGTCGGACTTGCATCCTGCGCCCATAGAGGAAATCACGGGAATCGAGTTTGAATGGCAGTAATGTAGCAGCTCGACTTTTGAGGTAATATTATCGATACAATCCAGCACGTAATCTGGCTTTCGCCCTTTGTCGCTATCGTCCATCGACCATGGAGCAAGTAAATCATCGGCAACAGATCCGCTGAAGAGTTCGTTCCGACAGTCAAACTTAGTCCATGGTGTAATTTGTTCCAGCCGTTTGCGGATGCAGTGCACCTTCGGCGTACCGACGTCGGCAAGCGTCGCGAGAGCATGTCGGTTTAGAGAGGATAATGTGACTTGGTCGAAATCAATCAGTCGGATTTTAGAAACACCCGACCGGGAAAGGGAGGCTGCAGCATGCGATCCGACACCTCCACATCCCACAACTATTATGAATGATGAACGAAGCTTCTCAAGCCCCTCGTCGGTGAGGAAGACACGATTGCGGGCAAGTTGTTCAAGGATAAGCTCTAAGCAAAATCAATAGTTAACTAACAAGTCGAGAGAATTGCCACAAGATATAGGTATTTACCGTCGTCATAATCTCCCATCTGCGCTCTGCGCGCAAGCGCCGCACTGCGCTCATCTTCCTTGCTCAATTGTTGTACAGGGTCTGCGCCGCCGAATTTGGTAAGCTGCATGCAGAGTTAGCAATGAAGAGCGTACTATATATAGTGCAAACAGAATACCTTCCCGGCAATATGTTTCTCATCGATACTAGGAATAGAGGCTTTCAATTCCTTGACGGCTTCTTTCCTTTTGAGCGCTTGATATCCAAAGATAGCTCCTGCAACAGCGGCCCCCGAGAGCACGGCCGTAGCGGCAAGCTGTGTCTGCTGGGAGCCAGCGTGCCGCTGTAACCAAGAAGACATTTCAACAATCTATCTCTGGCACCTTCTCTTCCGGATTCTTTGTGATTTCTGGCTTGAGAGCGCGGGGAACAAACGTCAATGGACAGTTCAAACGATCTAGGAGTTTGTCAGGTCAATGCGCATAGGATTTAAGAATGAATAGTCCTTGGTAAAATTCTTTCAGGGCCAGGAAGTACTTACCATTGCGATTTTCCAGGATAGAGCGCCTATGCCTCATACGTAATGCCATAGAATTTCTCGGAGTCTCGCCGGCGGTCACTATATGGTCACGTGAACTACGGTCAATTAGTTCTAGACAAAACACAGATCATCTCCGTCCTTGCTCTCTCTCTCAGCAAGTTGGTTATCTTAATCTGGCCGGCAAACCAGGTGAGTTACTTACGTGTCGTTATTCTAATCTCGAGTGTTTCCACTGACTCAAACGCGTATAGATCTTAGAATGACTGCTTTTCTTAATCCCGATGACGATAACCCTTCACTAGAGCTTTTCATGACACCTGCGTAGTATCGCACGATACAAGGCGATGGACTTTATCCTTCGCACTGCCGAATGGAAGAAGACATCATGCTGCAGTGTGGGTGATTGAGACAAGAACAGAGATCTAAGGGATTACCAAAAGCAAGTCTCTCGCGTACCTGTGGCGATGTCGCGTTGTGTTCGCATGGTTGAACACACAATATATCTTCCAAAGCTCATATCCTATATTTTTCAATGCTGAAAATCTAAGAGATAGGCTGTGCTTACACACTTTTATCTTCGTTCTTGAACCCTCGTGATTTGCTCAACTGCGGGCCCCGAAAGGAGTCCTTCGGTTTACTAACATTGTCTTTAAAAAATGTTCTCCTCGAGATTGCTCTCCTTTCAGCTTCGATTAACCCACCCCAGCATAGCAGACGCATGTATATCCTAACTCCCCTCGCACTGTGTAACCAGTTACTTCACATACAATATGGCCAAAGAGGAAGACAGAAAAGAAATGACCTCTCTGATTGACTCTTGACATGAGCTACTTTGCTAGCTAACAGACAAATGCTCTTGTTGTTTTCTCTGCTTTACTTCCCCTTTGTCTTTCTTCAATGAGTTCATAAGAACATGATCACAAGCCCGGTGACGAGGTGAAACCAAAAGCCAAAGTTGTATGGTATCCGGCAATTACGTGTGCGAACACGGTTCACTGCAGCCTGGAAACCGATGAGAACCTGAGAGCTAATCTGAGGGCCAATCACCAATCCAAATGTTTTGTTTATCTTTTTGCTTTCTTAGTAAGGATGTGCTGTTAGAGTTTGGCAGTTGAAGTACATTGTTATTCTATCTACATGAACTATGTTCAGGAAATTTCATATCGATCATTACAATCCATCTTTGTTCCCGGTGTTAAGGGTGATCTTTAGCTTGGTCATTTAAACGTCTCGAAGCCTTGCCCGTAAGGGTATAGAATGAAGAGTATACGGAAAAAGCTAACACGCACGGATTGCAAATAGATCATACGCTCGATTGTAGAAGAGAGAGGAAGGGTAGAGGTCAGATTTCCATTGCCAGTCGCGGAGAACGAAGCACCCAGATTACTACCTAGCCAACGAGAGCCAATGTTCGTTGACCCTGACGGAACTTCATCTATCGGGTGTGCATAGAATTTCCTGAAAAACAAAAGGGTATAGAGATTCTGTAAACAGATAGATTGACATGTAATTAGAATTTAAAACTTCTAACGGCTAGAGCCAAGCCAGAGTCCACAGTGCCGGCAAATTCGGCCACTTCTCCTGCCAAGCCGCAAGAATTTCCGGGACCTTCTCATCGAAACTCCTTCGAGCTTCACCGGTTCCATTTTCCCAGCCTTCAGGATTATTCGCTTTGCGTTCTTGGACGGCAGCCTCGTTGAGTCGATTAGCTAGTTCGAGAATGGCCTTTCCTCCGACCAGAGCTTCCTCGTGGTTATCTTTAATATCGACATTGAATACATGGACGGGTCGGTTGAGGAGCGATCCTTTATTCATGAGATCGTCCACAACGGCATCCCAGCACCGCTCCTCACAGGTGATGATGACATCGACCACACCGCCCTCGGTCCCTAAGGCGCCTTTGTCGCCTTTCGAGACGTGGTCCACGCGGGGCATACCGGGGACCCAGTCTTGGAAGCGCTCCGGGCCCCATTTCAGGTTCCGGTTGCGTTCGAGCATGTTTAGAAGCCCGTTGTTACGATAGAGCCTCTCATCCTTGGAGAACAATTCCTCGTACATTTGAGAATACGAGGTGGTATTGAAATTGTACACATTAGGTTGCGTAATGGATGGGCCTGGCAGACGGACCAGGGAGCCCGTCCCAAAGGAGATAACAGGGAAGGGAGACGGTGCAGTAGATAGACGGAGATGGGCTTCCATCGAACGGTTTTGGTTCGAGGCACACACCGTGCAAAATCTAAGTTTGTAAGAGTCTGACTGCTGCTCCTGGGAGGGTGCGGCTGCAGTCCCGTCTGAAGACTCGGTTTCCGTTGGTGCTGCCATGGCAGACTCAGGAGGGGGAGGGGGAGGAGGCGGGGGATCCGGAGTGGCAGTGCCCGCACTGGCTAATCGTGGATCATAGACCATGTTGCAAAGAATTATATGCAGACCAACACAAGAATAAGTGTGTATGTGTGATGAGGAAGGGGAAGGGTTCAGTAAGAATCAAGGAGGCTGGAAGATGTGTTCACTAGTAGGTCCCTGCAACGACTACGCGGCATTAGCAACGTCACACAGAAGCAATTCGGTGAGTAACGGCAGCAGAAAGCAAATTGCATTGAGTTCAGAAAGATGAAAAGCGTATAAATAGGTTTGTCCGCATAATGTTCTCGGACAGCTCCAATAATAGAGATCATCATGTAATTGGGATAAGAAGACGGGCGAAAGAAAGGAAGAGTGTCCGTACCTTAGAGGGTCGTCGCATTATCTGCAATTAGGTCTACTAACTATAATTCTGCGGCTGCGTTGGTGATGAGCAAGGGCCGCAGCCCTGGAAGATAAACAGTGAAGAACTTTGCGAGTATTTTGCATCCGCGTCGAAGCTTTTGTGGTCACGCGTGCTTAGTCATCGCTAGCTTTCCCGAAGCTTCCTCAGGTATCCACTGTACCTACCCACGGATGCCTCAGGAAGGGGTGGGGTCGATAACGTTCTTTTGGCAAAGATTCAAGACTCCCAAACGGACTGATGGGCTTCACCATTTGATCTGCATATACTTTTCTAGTTTGTATTTGTGACATCTGAAAGGAAGCCTATTGGACTATACAACTACGTAGCTCGTATACTACCATGCGTAGATATCAGACAAAGAATGTATGCAAGGTGTCGCACACTCTGAGGGGTAATCAAGCGAATCTCAGTAGAAAAGGTCACCCGGAATTGCACCAGGAGCTCCCTTGCGTTCTATCGTAACTTGGCCAGTAAACCTCCCACTCAATAACCACAAGAGAACCCAAACACCGGGCCAGCTGTTCCAGAACAAACTAGTGAAAGAGAAGAAGTGCAAGAACTCAAGATGAAGGCAGCCTTACTCGTGGTTGACATGCAGAACGACTTCTGTCCACCTGTGCGTCGCCTTCAAAAGCTACATCATATTACCTAGAATGTCTGACACTGATTTCCAACAGCACGGGGTTCTTCCAGTCCAGGAGGGGCGCGCAATCGCACCTCTTATAAACCATTTGCTGACTCTTCGGGGGTTCGCGGTACGAGTGGCCACACAAGATTACCACCCAGCAGACCATATCTCCTTTGCCAGCAGCCATCCCCCTCCCAACAACCGCCCTTTTGAGAGTGTGATCACCGTGAACAACCCAGCACCGGGGAAAGCGCACGAAACCAAACCACAGAACCTGTGGCCGGCACACTGTGTTGAGGATACCGAGGGCGCTGAGATTATCCCTGAGATCAATACCAGTAACATCGACCTATATGTGAAGAAAGGTAAGCACAGTCAGGTGGAAATGTACTCCGCTTTTGCCGATGCTTTTGGGAATGTTGATCCTTCTATCACGGCTCAATCGGTCGATGCCGATCTCAAGGACTTCCTGGCCAGTAAGGGCGTCACGGACGTCTTCGTGGTCGGGTTGGCGGGCGACTACTGCGTCAAGCATACAGCTATTGATGCCGCGAGGGTAGGCTTTAATAGTTACGTGGTTGAAGATGCCACTCGGTGTGTCGTGCCAGGTTCGGGTTGGGTCGGAGCGAAGCAGGAGTTGAGGGAGGTGGGAGTATCCATTATTCAATCGAATGGCCCTGAGATTTCTGGTCTGGCAATCTGAGCTCTCATATCGTATCGTTCAAATGTGACTGACCAGGGTGGGCTCTTTCCGAATCATTGTTTTGTTGGATGGCGGTGTGCTTCTTGTTGATCCGGTCATCATAGATAGTGGTTACCCGAACTGAACGATGATTTCACTATCAGTCTAAATATTTCAATTTGAGATGGAGTTACAGCTTTCGATATGTCCAATATACTAATGCAAACTGTATCCCCGATTTGATTGATACTAAAGTAGATAAGGACAAACGTGTATACCTTACCGCGGGCCACTAATGCAACGGCCTCGACGCCACAATTCTTCTAGTGACCAAGTTCGATGTAATAGACTAATAGTCACATAACGATATTCCCTGACATCCGAGGGGACTTGGACTCGAATGGAATCTGATATCATACCAATTTGGACCAATATCCCTACGACGTCCATGTTATTCGATACGAAGCTACGGCATGACAGGTCTCCACTGTGACGTATGGCCGCGCATCCCTTCAATGCCGGCAACCAACTCCAGCTAACGAAAGGCTACCACCGATCACAGTGCTGTGCAGAAGAATCTCCAGCTAGGTTGAGATCTCTGATTTGTCCATCATGAAACAAGGGCGTGTAGCAGCCGGAAGCCGACAATCCCTTCTTGAATGGTTCCGCGGGCGTGGGTCGATATAACGACGATCCTCGAAACCGTCGGCTGCCACGTCCCCGACCGTTATTAGGTATGGGGTAATCAAATCACGTCTCCTTTCCTCGGGTCAAGGGATGCTCCCCCTGTTCCCACACAACACCCTATCTGTTTTCTATCTGCGAGAGGTTGTTATACACTGGCTACTGGATCTTGTATGTACGTCATGGCGACCACGCTTAGACCTTCTGCTTCCGCCGCGACTTTCGCTTTCCTCGACAGAAAGTTAGAAGCGCCCGATGTGAGGGTTCCTACGACGCTCTCGCACCAGACGACCAACCTGTCGGGCGAATCCTTGCCGTATTGGCTGGTCAACGTCCCTCCCGACAGATGGCCGGCTGAATGCCCAAGCTTTCTCCGTGGTATCTGTGAGAAGAATATCCAGATACTGTCGACTCCTGACGAACAATATGAGAGACAAGGGTGGGAACTAGTGAAGGAGATTATCCGTAAGTGTTCGACAATGTGTGTAGGGGATTATTGGGAACCGCATCTAAGTATCTAGGCACCAATCAAATCGATCGCTTCCAACGCCTTCCCAGTGATTTAAGAAAGTATCTCGAATATAAGGAGTGGATTGTCGCCGAGTATGGGTCAGTCATGCGATTTGTTGTAAGGGAGCGACTACGCTGGGGGGAGGGCAGTCCTGACGACCTCAAACCCAGAGGACGCCCGTTCGAGTTTGACGGTGAGTTCATGTTCAATCTCGCGGGATATGGGTCTCTGAGCCCAGTCGCTGATGGCATTTGTAGAGGATATTCGAATTTTGTACAACGACTGGCCGTACGGAATCGAAAAAGATATCATCCATTTAGTGGTGTGGACCAAGTTCGAGCTGGAAGATGATCCGGTGACCGACGATCTGACACCGCAGGCCAGGCAGAAGATCGATAACTATGTGAAGAAGACATTTTGCTCGCGAGTACCATCAGAGAAAGTATGTATCCCGTGCGTGTGGTGGTTATGATGTCTGCTGCCTTCGTGATTCCGTCCCATGGTCAAGTGACGACTGACCATCATTGTAGGTCATCTGGTTCAAAAATTGGAAGTCTCTCAAGTCAGTGCATGCGGTAGAACACTTTCATGTCATGTTATATAAACCAGATCCAGAATTCCTGAAGGAAATCACTGGAGGGGATGTACCGATGGTTGCAAGGACGTGAGGGTTGTTTATGAATGGAGGTTCTCGACCATTGCTGCTTCAAAGCGAGAGAGATCCCGCCGTCTTTTTTTCTACTTTGGCGCTGATTTGGATTGGATATGTTTCGGGTTAGTTAAATTATGCTTGTTTTCGTCTTAGTGCCGTCCAGGGTCATGGTTTTTTCTTTTTTCTTTTTCTTTTTTTTTCACTCCTTTCTTTTTCTTTCTTTTTTTCTTCCCAAACGACTAGCTCTAGGTTATCTTGTATAGAAGTTGATAGGATAGAGTCAATAATCCAAGACCGCCACTCGAGGGGTTGTCTGTATAGAATGGCTGGATGTACAGCATCAGTACTGCAAACCGAAGTACTCCGTAAATTACTGGCGTCATGGAAATGGAACGTTCATCGAACAAGCTCCGAAGACGATGAGAAACTCTGAATGGCTACGCAATCCCCACTTGCCAAGATGTACTTACGGCCCCTCTATCGATGGAGCTCTCGGAGGATCGGTGAGAAAAACTTCCTTCGTTGAGCATGTGTCGAGGGGACATTCTCTATGGCTCAATGATTCCACAGATCTCTGACCATGAATGATGGAAACCTTACTGTATGCAAAAGAAGTCCTTTCAGCTTAGATCTACCCTTAGTCAAAAGAGGGGTACATACATGAACTGCATACATATACCACTGTGGCATGGATGTCTGTAGGTATTGGGGTGAATGGTGGGAAATGGGAGATGATCTTCTGTTGAGATTCAAGCATTCCTTTTTCAGAGCATACTAATCTTTCTCTTTTTTTACCCTCGAGTATCCACCGCAGCTTATATAAATCATAACCCACCTCAGCGGGTACCGATTTCCTCTTCCTCGCTTTTCTTTTCCAATACAAATTCTCTTTGATTGTTGAGGGATTTTTCGAGGGACAGAAATCTGGGGTGTAGTTCCTTGTCTTTCATTCCTTATGAACCTGATTGATATCAGGTGATTGAATTGCAGTCCAACAACACGTTGTGGTGGTTTCTTTTTTTTATTGATTAAAGAAGGAACAAAAACAGAAGAGAACGAATACGAACTTAAAAATATCCCCAACGCGACTACTACTATTTTACCACCACGACGACTTCTATTCTGCCCCAAGCGACAAAACCAACAAGATTGTTCATTGTACTGTACTTGTTCCCAGGTAGTAGGCAGTCATGGCCATACTGTCGCATATCCGCCGCCCGTCGTCGTTGGCGAGTCCTGCTACGAGTAAGTTACATACTACTTGACTTTACAGACCTTAAACGTCACCTTTCCGCCTTTTTTTTTTTTTTTTTTTTTTTTTTTTTTTTTTTTTTTTGCTGACATCTTGATTTTTTTTTTTTATATTTTTTTTTTTTTTTTTTTTTATTTTCTTTTTCTTTTTTATTTTTTTGGTCACATTTCCCTCCCACCTTCAAAACGTCATCCCCTCTTCTCTTACTCCAGTCCCCCTCCTTCCTTCCTTTCCCCCCATACTTTACACCTACCTTACATACATAACATAACGGCCATACATACATTCTTATTTTTGTAGTTCCATTTCTCTCTCCCCTCAACACCATATAGTTGGCATCCCTCCATTTTTCTTATACCTCTTCTCTCCTCCCCTCCCACCATGTCTGCTGACTGGGGCTCCTTCTTCAACTCCTCAGGTAACCATTCATCCACGGATGAACCCAATGTTGTGGTCGGGGATGATGACACCGAACCCGACCAGGGTAATGGTACGTAGAACAAAAAAAAAAAAAAAGAACAAAAATTCTCCCCGTTGTCAAGAGCATGAGAGAACTCTCTTGCGGTGACATCTCCTAGGGAGCTTAAAAGCTGACCTCTCAGTCCTGTCGCACATTATCAGCCAGCTCCGCCCCGGAGCTGATCTGAGTCGGGTGGTGCTGCCTACCTTTATTCTAGAGCCACGGTCCATGTTGGAGCGGATCACCAAGTATGTGCTATAGCTGTCGGTACCGCGTCGATCAGAACTAATATTACTATGTCACTAGCTTCATGGCCCATCCGGAGACCCTTCTGCCCATGCCCACCGTCGATGATCCCCTCGAACGCTTCGTCTCCGTGGTCAAGTTCTACTTGAGCGGTTGGCACATCAAGCCTCCGTATGTCTGCTCTTGTGGCTCTCTATCACACGGGTGATCCGGAACCTTCGCTAACACTCTACGACAGAGGTGTGAAGAAACCGCTCAACCCGATTCTAGGAGAAACCTTTACTGGCTACTGGGATTATCCGGATGGAACCCGCGGATACTATATCGCCGAACAAACCTCCCACCACCCTCCCAAATCGAGCTATTTCTTCATGGCCCCCGAGCACGGTATCCGGATAGACGGGACGCTGATCCCCCGCAGCAAGTTCTTGGGTAACTCGGCCGGAAGCATGATGGAGGGAATCGCCGTTCTGCGCTTTTTGAACCGCGGTTCGAACAAGGACAGGGGCGAGCGATAGTATGTTTCGCCCATGTCTGCCTCCGTTCGTGGCGCTGCTACTAACGTCAATTCTAGCATCTTGACTCAGCCGAATATGTACGCCCGGAATATTCTAATCGGAAAGATGAAATATGAGCTAGGCGACCACAGTTATGTCAGATGCCCGGAGAACAATCTGGTTGCCGATATCGAGTTCAAGACCAAGGGCTACTTCACGGGCTCCTATAACCAAATTGGGGGCACGATCAAGAACAGCGAGACCGGCCAGGTATACTATGAATTGTCCGGCTATTGGAACAAGGAGATGTTCATTACAGATGTCCAGGTATGTTTGTTCCCTTCCCCACAAAAAGGCATCTACCAGCCTCGGATATCTAACTGGCGCAGACCCACAAGAAAGAACTTCTGTTCAACGCAAGCGCTGCCGTCCATACCCCTCCCCATGTGCGGCCCATCGCACAGCAGGGCGAACGCGAGTCGCAGCGGCTGTGGCAGACTACCGTCAAGGCGCTCGAGGAACGGAATCACGAAGTGGCCACGGATGAAAAGACAAAGATTGAAGATCGCCAGCGAGAAGAAGCGGCCAAGCGGACCAATGACGGGGTGGAATGGCATCCGAAACTCTTCCGTCGGGTTCAGGGAGGCCCTGGCGGTGTCGACGAAGGCGAGGAAGATCTTGACTGGATCATCAACGCACAAGTGTAAGTTCTCCACAGGCGTGCGGGATGGGTTCAAACTCACGAGAGTCGCAGTGATTCGCACAATCCCGAATTGGCCACCAAGCAAATTTTATCCATTGCCCCGATCTTAGAAGGTCAGACCGAGTCCTCTCAATACCAAATCCCACCTCACAAAGAGGGGCACGAGGCGGCTCCACCTGATCACAACGGCGCCGCCCCGAGCGCAGCTCAGCCCGCATCCTCCGCGGGTGAACAGCCCGAAGAGGTGCAGCGCAAAGACACGCAAACATCGGATGTCGACACCTTCGTGGACGCTAAACCGTGACCGCATCTCCGTTGGGGATACGTGTGACTCGCATCTCGGCGGTTTAGTATCTCACCACCGCATCTCGATCCAAATCCAGGTCTCGGAAGGTCCATGAGATGACACCAAAAAGGGGAGTTTGAGAAGCATAAAAAGAAATGGTAGCGCAAACCGGAGTTACAAACGTGGTTAGCCTGTGGTGATGGAGTGAATAAAAGGATGTGACTGACTGACTTGACTGTACATCAGAAAGTCCTGTCGCACCCTATGACTCCAGGCCCATGTTCAAAACCAGGTTTCGACCGGTGTGCCCTACCGAACCTCTACTGGATACCCGATTGAATATTCTGTCTTTATAATTATTATATCACGTGGCAAAAAATAAAGGGTTGGTTTGTCGGCATACATATAGGAGTATAAGATGGACGGATGGGAGCATATAATCTGTCGACTTTCTATCGTGATGTGAAGTGGTTATCCTAATATGCAGTTTAAAGTCGTGCTCTTCCACAATATAATCAAATACGTTTAGTTCTATTTTCCTCCGAACCGTACATAGCGGATTAGATAAGATTCTAATAGGTTGTATATTGTATGTGTTATGATCTTTAATATTAACATGGTACATTGAACTCCATTGGTATCACGGACAGTAACCACCAAGACAACCGACACGATCAACGCCGATACCACCAACACCAAGAGACGAAATGCATAGACTCAACGACAACAGAGAGAGGGGGCGCGCCCAAAAAAAAAAAAAAAAAGGAAAGTAAAGAAGGGAACCCGAATCAAGCAGAGAATAATTCCCCTCTCTGCCCAGCACCCCTCTCCAACTCCCGTCGTCGACTATTCTTACTCGCAGACCCACCGCCTTCTTTCTCCTCCCGCGCCTCATCCTGCTGCTCCATCTGCTCCTCAATCTCCTTCTCCGTATCCTCCCGCAGGCCCAGAATATCCGGCGGAATAAAACTCATCTGCACGCTGGGCGCGCCCTGCATATACCGCAACTGCTCGTGGATGGACTGGACGAGGCCGGACAGGTAGCTGCGCGGGTTCTTATTCTCGAGCTTGCGCATCTCGCTCAGCGGCGGGAAGAGCGAGTAATCTGGGCCGAAGTGGTTGCGGAAGGCGACGGTGTCAGGGATGTTGGGGTCGATGGTATCCTGGGCGTCGATGAGGATGGAGGTTTCGTGGGCCCAGGCGCGGGAGACGTTGCGGGGGGTGTAGCCGCCGCCGCCGACGACGAGGAGGGGGAGACCGAAGGTTTTGACGTAGGCGACGCAGGCGCCGTGGGCGGCGACGTTCAGGTTGAAGCAGCCGAGGCGGTCGCAGCCGAGAGAGTCGGCGCCGCATTGGAGGACAATTGCGCCGGGTTGATAGGTTGAGATGCAGGAGCCGACGACCTCGCGGAAGAGACGGATGTAGGATTCGTCGTCAATGCCGTCGTGGAGGGGGACGTTGACGGCATGGTGTGCGCCTGGGTTCAGTGGGTGGGTTGGTCCGGTGCTGTCTAGGGCGCCGGTGCCTGGAAAGAAGTTGTCCTTGTCATATTTGTGGAAAGAGACGGTCAGAACGCGGTCGGTGGACCAGAAGGCTTGCTCGACGCCGTCGCCGTGGTGCACGTCAATGTCGATGTACATGACGCGCGGGTGCAGGCGGAGAAGCTGTAGGATGCCGAGGACGATGTCATTCACGTAGCAGAAGCCGCTGGCCTCGGCCTTTTTGGCGTGATGAAGCCCGCCGGACCAGTTGATTGCGATTTCGGATTGGTTGTTGCAAAGCTTGCGAGCAGCGTCGATGGAGCCGCCAGCGTAGAGGGAGCAGTAGTTGTACAGGCCATCGAAGATGGGGCAGTCGTCGCCGAAGTTGAAGCGCGCAATGTTCTCGCCTTGCTCTGGGTTCTCCATGTCGCCGGGAATGACCTGGCGGAGGAAATCCAGGTAGTCTGTTTTGTGAAACTCGGCCATCTCTTCGTAGGTCGCTTCGCGAGCGAGATACAGGTCCATCGCGTGGTGCATGCCGTAGGCCATGACGAGCTGTTTGGTCAAAGTCAGACGCCAGGGTTTCATCGGGTGCGATTGACCGAAATGGTGCGGTTCGACAGCTGGGTTGGCATGCCAGGAGACACGGTAACCTTTGGGGCGAGCGATCCCATTTTGTTGACGTTCATGGATGGTCTTGTGGTCGAGGGTGAGGGTAGGAGTGGAGGAGGAGGGAGGGGCGTATTCTTGGACAATGGCAGAGCGTGCCATGATGTGAATGGGGAATGGGGAATGAAGAGAGAGGACAGGAAGAGTAGGGAAATGAGAAGAGGTGTCAGGTATCGAGAAAAGAGCCCCACTAGGAGAGCATTCTCAGAACATTCTGAGGCGGTAAAAGTGGAGGAGCGAAGGCAAGAGGTGCAGAAGAAGATACGATAAGCGGAAGAAATCCCCGGACGTCGGAATGCCAAGGAAATCCCGAGTTATCCCCGACCCTTACTTAAGCCGTTCCCGATGTCGGCTTTTACCGCACCTTGATATCATCGATGTTCACCTTCTTTTCCACCCCGATAGCTTAATAAAGCTTGTCGGTGAGTTTCCTACTGTAGAACGCTCTGAACTGCCGACCCTGTTACCCGGTGTAACTTCCTCTAGTGCATATGAAGTGGTGGATCCAGGCGGTCACCTTCAAATCGTTTAGACCAGGCATAGTTTCAAACCAAGACTATTACTGCCCAACCTATCCCTAAACTTGGTCTCCATCAACGACTACCTCCTACACCTGACCCCCAACTAAATCCCTGCAGCACATACATACAATGCCGATGGTAACAGCAGCTACTGGTCTTCGGCGCACTCTTGAAGACCCAAACTCGTTCGTTGTCGCCCCCGGTGTATATGATGGCCTCTCTGCACGGATTGCGCTCTCCGTGGGCTTCGACGCCCTGTACATGGTAAATCAAACTCGTTGGTCCCTCCACATCCTCTCTAACTCTCATAGACGGGTGCTGGTACCGCCGCCTCTGTGCACGGACAAGCCGACCTGGGAATCTGCACTCTGAATGACATGCGCGCCAACGCCGAAATGCTCTCAAATCTTTCGCCAACTACACCCGTCATCGCAGATGCTGACACTGGGTACGGCGGTCCGATTATGGTCGCCCGTACGACCGAACAATACTCCCGCTCTGGCGTAGCAGCCTTCCACATCGAGGACCAAGTGCAGACAAAGCGCTGCGGGCATCTGGGAGGGAAGATCCTTGTGGACACGGACACCTATGTGACGCGCATTCGTGCGGCAGTGCAGGCGCGAAAGCGCATCGGTAGTGATATTGTGGTTATTGCCCGGACAGACTCCCTTCAGACACACGGTTACGAGGAGAGTGTAGCACGTCTACGAGCAGCGCAGGACGCTGGCGCAGACGTAGGTTTCCTTGAGGGAATTACGTCCAAGGAAATGGCCAGGCAGGTGGTAAAGGAGCTGGCTCCGTGGCCGATGCTGCTGAACATGGTCGAGCATGGGGCGACCCCGTCGATCTCGGCGGCTGAGGCTAAGGAGATGGGATTCCGTATCATCATCTTCCCGTTCGCCGGTCTGGGACCCGCCTGTGCAGCCATGCGCGAGGCAATGGAAAAACTGAAGGTAGACGGTATCCCGGGCTTGTCCAAGGAGATGACTCCGCAGATGTTGTTCCGGGTCTGCGGGCTAGATGAGAGTGTTAAAGTCGATGCAGAGGCTGGCGGAGCGGCATTTGAAGGTGGTGTTGATCTGAAGTAAGAGCTACGACGCACTGTACGGTGAATAAGGATCAGCTGGGACCATATGAGTAACGGCATCGACGATGATCATTTTGAACTAGAAATAACGACGAGCTCGACCGGTGTCTCCGTATTGCATGATATCGAATGCAGAGTTTTTGTTTGCATTGTGATACCTTGGTCTCCATTTTTTGTAATGCCTCGCAAAGTTTTCGTATGTTTCAGGATTAGTATGCACGGTGTCTGTCGGACAAAGGGAGCGGGAGACCACTATGCTTTACAAGGGTACATTGCCCCAGCACTACTCTATAAACGTAGCGTATCTCTTCCTTGGTCACGATGCCGCGTCACCAGTATACGATGCAGTAATTATACTCAGTGCTCGTCTAGTCGAAGAAGGTCAAACAGAGTATGATCTTCGTTTGGCCTTGTGCGACTTGGACGGTGGATAGTATTGAGCTCACCGATGATCGCGAGTGCCTTACTATATGGCAATGGCAAGGACTCTCCTGTCCCGGGATGAGATGGAGCTGCAGGTAATGCCAAGATCACTACATGATGCTGTGTCACGGCCGATAGCCGTCAGGTCCGTACCTGGTAGGGATTAACGGGCTCCGGGAGTCCGTCATGAACAGTGCGCATTGTATGCCAAGAAGCTAAAGACAAGGTTATAGATCGGTTAAGGAGGCTCGTAAAAGGCATCCCAATCTTCCTCTGAAGGGAAACTGAGCCAGCCTGTCGACGGCCGAAAGCACTCAAGGCTCAAGCACAGCATAGATACTCCGCATGGCGTACCCCGTATGCAAGTCGAAAGGATTCGGGGATAACTCTAAATCCAAGTGATGAGCTTGGCGGGCATCACATGATCCCTGCTTTGCCGACTGCCGACATAAGGTTTCAGGGATCATCCAAGACAGCTTACGAGTCCCTGGTCCGTGTGGGTGTCGGCCAGTATATTGATGGACCAAAAAGGGTGAACCTAAGAATATCCCCGGCTCAAATTTGGAGCGAGGAAAGTTGCTGCAGACATGAGATGAAGTCAGTCGATGCAATCTCCGGTTTCATGGTCAGCCCTTGCTTGGTTCCGTCGCCAACCGTGGAACGCGAACCCACAACAGTGTTGTTTATTTATATCCCAATTGTGTAGCTGTGGAATTGCCATTACCCCCGGATGTCTGTCTCCCTCATTTCCGATTTTGCATGGCGCCGAGATTTTCAAGTGAGGGTAGTAGGGAGATATTCCAGAAGCGTCCTAGGCATTTCTGCTTCAGCGAACCGTCCTGGGACTAACCGGTGGCAATGGCAGTTGTGGGCTTGGCCACAGGCACGGGCGACCATTGTGGATCTGACTCCTTCGTTAGCCTGGAATCCTGTTGTGCCGACCCTCATTGACCCACGACAGTCGCTATGAACTGGCTGGAAGGGTCTATGGAGTCTCTGTCGGTGTCGCCTACCTTGACAGAGACTCTGGGGCTGAGACTTGGAGGAGGGAAAGGCATGCAGGCTGTAATTGCGAAAATGGTTCACTACAGTCAAGGATCAGTAAGGTACAGTATCTCAGTGAAAAGAATGGATCTTTTAAGGGAGAGTACCTCATTGTTCGAGATGAGGCGTTGGGAGCCCAGCAAGTACTGTAGTCCTTTCGTGTTGGGGGTGAGCGATACCGTACCAATCAGCAGGTACTAGTCATCGTTGCCTACTGTTGGCCGAGTACTAGTAGTACTAGTATGTACTTACAGTACGGACTCCGCGTACTGTACCTGACTTTGCGGTCAACAGCGGAAGAGGGGCATCCATTGAGAAAGGATTTTTTTTTTTTTTTCTTTAAAAAAAAAAGAAAAAGAAAAAGAAAAAAGAAAAGTCGAAAACGTTAGTGATATACCAGTATCATTGGCTGTTGAGTCTCCTGTACCTCGTATAAATTGAAAGGATAAATTGAACAGTTCATCAAGAATATACTTCGTACCTCGAGGACTCCCGACGTGGCAGGTCAGTTGTTGTCAGGCACTTCCATCGCAAGATGAGTAATTGGACTGATGCTTTGTCGATGATGCAGGAACCATCACACAGCAGCAGTTGATGGGGGAACACATCATCATGGATTTATGGCGACTTGTCATATCATGACAATGGGGGCGCATTCCATCAATCTAATCATGATGATCGGAATGGAGATGTGACATCAGCATCAGGGGATACGTCGCATCTTCCACAGGTGAGATGGACAAGGTCTCTTGATCTATAAACATGTCTTGAGAAGGCATGATGAGAAATGAAGGAATGTAAGCTGAGTAGTAGGAACAACTCGTAGTCAACCCTACTGCAGTAAAATGGAGTTCGTCAGGTACGGGAACCCACGTATACTAGGTACCGTATGGTAACCACGGTCAAGGTGTGATCAACCCGGCGGCCGTTCCAAGGGACTCGAGTCTCGACCGCCGTGGGGAGTGGACCCTTCAGGGTCTTCTGCACCAATGGAGACCCTGAAAAACAAGGCCATCGGGGATGTTCAGGAACCGATGCCTCGACCCAACCAATGAATCACAGTAACGCTTCTCGTGTCCCCTGATCGGCCCCTTTTCATTAAATGAACCCATTCATGGCGGCCTCCCACTCGAAGTATTATTACACTGAAACTCCCCCCCGGTCGCTTCCTGATCTCTTTTTATTTCCCTCTCCCTCCGTCTCTCTCTCTTTCTCTTCTCTATCACGATTCCTTCCCTTCCCTTCGGGTTCGCAAATACACTCCTTTCGTTACTTTTTGTTTTTATAGAGCCTGTGGTTGCTCGAGACACTCCTTGGATCTACCCAAAGCACATTCCTTGATCTTGTTTGCGTTCCCTGGGTTGTCGTTCTGAGACATACCTACTGTGATACCCACATCTTCCGTCCATAACCTTGTTACCTGTGAACATCCAACGCGATTTATCACCATGCAGCTCAAGAACTCCATGTTCCTGCTCACGGCGTTGACGGCCGGTTCCGCCGTCGCCCGTATGCACGGCCACGAGCGCCGTCATACTCATCACCACATGCAGCACGAGGAGAAGCGCCAGGTCGGTGAAATGGTCTACGCCAACATCAACGGTATCTGGCAGTCCTGGATCAACAATTGGTCCGGTCACCCCACCTCTACCGCCGGCTCTGGTTCCACTCCCACTCAAGCTTCCTCCTCAACTTCCTCTGTTGTTTCCATCACCGCGGCCCCTAGCGCCAGCAGTGGCCCTACCGTAACCACCCCCGGATCCTGCAAGGAGTGGCATGCGGACAGTGGCTCGTACACCCGCGAGGGCTTCGGAGGGCAGACCAAGAACAACGACGAGGCCTACATCAAGTACATCGGTAATGTTGGCAACCCGTACGGCAGCAACATCATCGAGGTCTCCGAGAGCAAGGCCTGCGAGTACAAGCATGTCGTTCGCATTGACGGCAGTGAGAAGGAGCCCTGGACCGTTGCCTTCTGGAACAAGATGGGCCCCGATCTCAAGCTCACTGGCTGGTACGGCAATGCTGTCCTGACCCTCAAGATCAACCCCGGTGAGAGCAAGTATGTTGCTTTCGATGACGACTCCCAGGGTGCCTGGGGTGCCGCCAAGGGTGACAAGCTTCCTGTGGACCAGTTCGGTGGCTACGCCTGCACCTGGGGTGAATTCGACTTCGGCAACACCTCCAACGAGGGTTGGTCCGGCTGGGACGTGTCCGCCATTCAGGCCCAGAACGCCGGTATGGATGTCCAGGGTATGAAGATCTGCACCCACGACAACCAGAAGTGCTCTACCATCTCCAACTTTGCCAAGCTGGTGGAGAACGCCTACACTGCTCTTGAGGCCGGTGTTGACGGCATTGGTGGCGAGTGGACCAAGGGTGCCCTCCGTCTGATTGTCAACATTGACTACGACTAAGCGTTGTTTCTGTGCCCTGTCGGTTTCCTCTTTTTTTTTCCACCTTCTATGACTTGTCTTCTTCTGCAAAATTGGTTAGGGGTTGGAGGTGTTTTTCTCTTCATTGTGCGCGGCGTGTACTGGTGCTTGAGCGTCGAACCCAGCATAGCATGTGCGGTTCCATCCTCAAGTCCTTACACCCCGTGACCGCCATCCGGCCTTGACGATAGTGCATTCTTTTCCATGTACATACATATACCACTGTTCACTGTCTATTGATTTAGTTTCATATCACGATAGAATTACGTACAAGCTGTCCATACTCCACCCGTAGCATTCCATACCTTCCCGTCAGAATGTACATGACACATACCGTCCCTATCTTCAACAACAACAATAGCCCTAATTCAGCCTTGGAATACCCAAGTTTGTACACCCCTCCCCTCAGCCCCCAACCAAGAGATCCCTCCCCATACACAGAAGAATTAAACGACCCATCTATAAATACCCCTCACGTCAGCAACCCTCGCTTTGCTATAATTGGCATCATATTTATATTCAGAGCAATCGGGTATCCTCACCGTTAGAGTTCGCCTTGGTATAATCTCCATCCAGCAGGTCGGGTCTAATAATACTATGTCTATAATCGTAGTTGAATGTGACGTGCTGAGTATACGGAGTCTCTTTGGGCTGAGGGGTCAAACTGTCAGAGAGCGTTGTGCAGCTTGTCTAGGGTTGTTTGGGTGATTGTTTGGGTATGTAGGTACGCTTATGTATGTATCTGTATTAGTATGTTTCTGTATTATGTGAGGCATCGGTGTGTAGTGGTAGTAGTAGTGTGTGTTGATTGATGAGGGGCTGTGAGTCTGGAAGGGGGGACGGCTGTGATAATCTGACAGCGTTATTGGTCTTGTTGAGTTGGGGGATGGAGATATATGGAACTGTTGTTATGTTGATGTTCGTGATGTTTGGTACATATGATATCTATAGTACAAATAGGTCCGGTGTTGACTTGGGGAGGTGAGTGAGTGGTATTAGATAATGTGTAGTTGAATCATTGACAGAGCAGGGGGTGAAGAAGAAAATCAGGTATTCTATTCATACATATAAGGCCAATAAATCGACTAATGGACGGAACAATCAAAACCCAGTTAGAAAATTCTGCGCCTGGAGTGATTCGGGCTCTATATCCGGCATATCCCCAAGCTCGTCGTCCTCTTCATATTCATCACCTACTTCTGCAGAGAAAAATCCCTCGTACGCCATGTACCCGATCAACGCGGCAATGCCACTCACGGCGTATGCGATATTAACCAGAATATCTTTCTTCTGTCCCTTCGCAAGCGCAGAGAGTTTCCGGCTATCGGGCTCCGAGAGGCCCGAGTCTGGCGATTCCGCCGCTACCCGCAGCCTATCCTGGGCGCGGATTTCTTTGAGGATCGGCGTGTTGTCGGCAAGGACGTTGAAGATAGTGTTCCCCAACGTAGTGAGACGTGCACGCTCCGGTGCACGCCAAGGTAGTGGCGAACCGCTATTTGGGGTAGGGGTATACGCATGCGACACCTCGGCGCCGAGGCCGTAGCACTGTTGGCGCATGCGCTCGGTATATACCGTCAACAGAGGCGCCTTGCTCTTCATCGCATCGCGGAGCCATGAGAAAGATAGTTCCGGGACAAGAGCCAAGGACAAGTATCCAACAGCCAAGCAGTCTAAGCTAGACGGACCTTCGTTCTCGCCCGTGAGGAGATAAACTTTGTCACCGAGGATTTCTTCCAGCGGCTCGAAGAGCTCCCCCGTCAAGGCATCCAGTCGGAACTGGTTCTGTTGCGACGTCTTTCCCAGAAGACTTGTGACGGTATCACGCGGCCGGCGGATGAAGTTTGGAGGGATCTGGCCGGCTGCGACGGCGGCCGAATGTTCGCGTTGGCGCTGTTCTTCAATGGCTTGTAGATCCAGCGACGAGAGCCCGAGATGATCTGTTCGGGCTTTTGCGGCAGCGTGAATTTTAGGGGGAAGAATCCATTGGTTCGGCCACTGAAGGATGGTGCCGTATGCGGGGGAGGTCTGGTTGTAGTAGTTCTGACTGGTTACGTAGAGGGAGAGGTCGACGAGAGCATGGGCGCGGGATTCAATGAAGGATGAGAATCTGGTTTTTGGGTCACAGGTGCGGTTAGATTATCATTCCACTCACCTAGCCATTGGTCGAAGTCAAATATGAGACAAACTTACCCAATATTGTCGGCCCTTTGCAGACCGCTCAACCCTCCATCTAAATCCCACTCGCCATTTGAGTATTGTCGCAGATAGTCCACGATATTTCGGAACCGGCTCACCCATGTCGAGCCATTTCGTAGAGCGGGCAATTCACCTGAGCATCCAATCAGACAGTAAGGAGGCTTGGTTAGTCCATTGCGCTACAAACCCCAGATCGGCGACATGGATACTTACAGGTTGGGGACACGGACGGATCACTGCTTGCGACAAGCACCCACGCGTCCTTGGGCAGGGCCAGAGAAAAGTAGGCTATGGTTGCGAGGCATTGCGCCTCGATTGAGGGCAGAGAGAAGGCCGGACCCCAGACATGGAGCTCCAAAACCATTTTAATTTCTTATTTTGCTTTTGTTTTTCTTGTGGTTAGAGGTGGAGAATGCCATTCTGAGGGGGTTGCGGAATTGAAGGTGAGGATCACGTGGGAAATGCCGGGATCCTTGTAGTATTTGATCTGACTGATTTGATTGGTGTCCTGAGGCAATCAGGCAACTGTTGCGAATGAATGCAGGTCCAAATGTATGTGTACTGGCATGTACGACCTTTTCGTTTCGTAGCCAAATGAAGTCCGTGTTCAATTGGGGAAAATGTCCTTCGGAAAGAAGTTGTAAATTTAGGTGAGAAGAATGTTACCTCAATCAAAACCCTACATGAGTCTACCGAGCTACGATGTTACATTAATCTTGTCAATGGCAATTAATTTAATTTTTTTTTGCCCCCTCTTTGTTTCCTTCGCTCTGCAAAGTATATTGCTGATGGTTCTTATCGGACACACTAAAATAGACGTCTTAGTTTAACCGGTGGAATTCCCGCATCCAATATGGCCTGAAGGTGCCTCAGGTGAAGCAACCATCCATTGACTAAAGGGTACTAACGACGCGTGAGTGAATATGATCATGGTATTGGGACAGTTGTACGGATGAGGGGTTTTGGGGGGATTCAGCTGTTCCAGATAAGTAGGTAGATAGGCAGGGCCGGGTCTTGGTGATTCCACTCCATACATAACTGAGCCGTGCTGAAATGCGGAGTAACTTGGCCATGACACTTAGTGCAGCGATGTCGGTTCAGCTCAATTCCATACAATCCCGCACATGGGACCATAACAATCAAGTAAGTGAAACATGGTCCCATCCAAATCGTCCATGCAGATATTAGTTAGTACATCAGTCCGTAGTACAGTGTACAGAGCTGAAGGTCATTTGACAGCTCCCCTCGGCGGTTAGAGCATTGATTAGGTTTGATGATCATCAGTCGCCCAGGCACCCAACAAACAAGGCATCGGCTAGGGTTGGGCTGAGGGATTTACCCACTGGCGCTCCTGCGAAAGCATCTAGCTCCGAACACATCATTAGGGACGGAAAGTCAATATCACTATGTCCTCATCGTCGCGGAGTTGTACAGTACCTATGTACATAAAGGTTATCATGCTGATATTACGTACAGTGATAGGTAGCGTTCGGTCTGATGGATGCACGAACGGATGCATGAAGAGACGCCACGGCTGCGGGCGGCTGTAAGATTAGATTAGGTATCAGCTTTGGCCCTGTTTATTTATTTATTTTTTCTTTTCTTTTCTTTTTCTTAACGGGCGCCTTTTGGATAATGCTTGTGACCTCATCAATAAAGAGGGGGGGG